GCGTCCCAACTGGGATTTCAATAGAAATTTAGTGAGATCAACGATGTATCATTGGTGTTTCATTGGTGTTTCTATCTCTTTCAATGCGGGTTGATTAGGGGACACATTTATATATGTGAGCGCGTTGAGGACTGAACACAAGTTCTCTACTTAACTTGGTTATCAAATAATTAGAAAAAAGCTTGAGCGTGTTGAGAATTGAACACAAGATTATATTGAGGTCAAAATCATAAACTCATCACCACTACACTATCAAGTTCATTTCTTCTCTACTGTGTAATTAAACTTTTGTTATAGTGTGCCAATAAAAAGGAATAGGGTTAAAGCTGGCCTTCTACCAAATATTCTCATATTTGTTTCATCGTATAATTGTTTAACATTGTGTAACGTACTAAAATCAATAGATAATTCGGAATGATATATATGCTGTCTACCTCAGGTTGATCCAGGAAGATAATCATAATTAGACGACCACAACGTGAGATATCTTCAAAACCTTTGGAGACGCGTGAGTACGCGTTAGACAAAATGAAAACTTAATTACCATGTGCTCGTAAACGTTAGCATCACGAGGACTAAGATTCAATTACGCTCATGTACTCTCCCTTTGACCATTTCAACTTAAAATTGATGTTTTCTCTAACTTAGTACTTAATTAACTAGTAATTTAATATCATTAACATATACTCCCTCTATCCAACTGAATAAGGCGTGATCAGATTTAACTCGGTCTCCTTAAATTTTTTATATACTATAATGTTTATAGCAACAATATAATAATCATATGAGAGCAAATTCAAATGTTAATATAATAATATTATTTTTATCAAATAAAATTTAATTTATAATAAATTATTTTTTGTTCAAATGCTTAAAGAGCTAAATCTTATTCCGTGGGATGAAGGGAGTAATAGTTTATCTAAATAAAGATCAGTTGAAGTTTCTCACTTTATACATAATGCATCATGTACGTAATTAAACCGAGCTCTGTGATGAAAATTGTGCAGTAGAATTTAATTCCTTTAATTTCATTTGGCCTCTCCTTTTTGGAGTTCGAGGTAAATGTACGCAAGGCAAAATCATCCATGGTACAAGTAGCAGAGGAACAAAAACGGCAGGCAGTACAGAGTACACTGTCAAATTCTACCCTTTTTGGGAATGAAACCCCATCAAATTTCCATCGTGGAGAAAAGGGCTCTGTGCCTCTGGTGCCTGTCCCTTTTGCCTATCACAGGATAAAAAAGGCAAGGACCACACAGCAACTACTAGTGTAAGGTTGGCATACAAAGCTGCAAATTCAATTGCCCCAATTTACTACTACTAGCATTGAAGTATCTAATTAAAACCCCACATTAATGTGGGTAAACTCTTTGCGCACATAAACGCAAATTATTCTCGAGAGGAAGAACCAACAAAATAAACGTTGGAAAAACAAACCCGCTTAATAAAAAGAACCGGTTACGTAAAAAATTCAAAAAGGACGTACGTGCGGAGATTGGTTATGTGGAATTAGCGATTGAAGATGTGCGTCGTGGTTATTCCAATGCAACCTTTTTGGAGTTAATGTTAATATCTTTACCTGTCAGTTGATTGAACTTAACAAAGATTGACTAGGAAAAATATCAAATAACCTATAATATGAAACGGAGAAGTATTTTGCAATGGATCACATTATACTAGTGTATAGTGTTGGGGTTGGGGAGGAGTTGCATGGTACACCTAGCCTGAGAACCAAATATGATGGTGAGACACTGAGTCAGTACTTCTGTACTGCCTTTTGCTCCATCCAAAATGTTTTGGCTCGAGAGAAGTGTACACAATTTACGAGAGTAACACCAGCTATCAAAGTAGTCCTAAGGCCAGTCACAATGGGGGTTTCACTGGTGTGTCATGCACATTTAATAGGGGTAAGACTGAATAAAAAATGATTATTTGCATGAAATGGGGATGAGAGAGAAGGAAAGAGTTTCATCCTGGTGAAACTCGTCAGCGTCGTTTCCAAGTCCTCGGTAACAGAGTGAAACCCCCGTTGAGGCCGATTCGTTTCATTCACCGGATCTCTTGCGTCCGCCTCCGCCGTGCGACCTCCGCATTCTCCCGCGCCGCGCCGGATTTTGGGTACAAATGATCCCAGCAACTTGTATCAATTAAATGCTTTGCTTAGTCTTGGAAACGTCAAAGTGAAACCCCTCCACTGTGGGGATTGTTTCATAAAAGATTTCATTTGAGAGAAGATGGTATAATATTTTGGGTAGCCGTGCAATGACACTAGCCATTGTGACTGGCCTAAGTATTCACTTGCATCATGTATGAGCTAAGCTTCACCATCGCTTTCAACTAACGAGGGGTAAAGTGGTTAGTTTCATCGGTTAATCAAACAACATTGGAGAAGCTGTAACTCTCGTAGATATATTTGTTCTATTGGCAAAGCCTGATACACACTCAAATGAGTTGTGTTGAACCTCTCTTCTCTCTGTAAAAAACAAACAATTTCTAGATTTTAATTTTTCTCTCAAAATAGTTGTTTTTTCTCTCTTTTACCTATCCTCTATTTGTAAAATGAGAAGTTTTATCCCTTTAATACTCCTTACCTACTCAACCACCAACTACTTTTCTATTAATGATTTTGGTCATTTTTCCTCCTACTAAAGTTGTCTTGGAATAAGAGTTGCTTTTATTTTGGAATATACACAGGGACTACATGTGTCTAGGAGAAGCTGATGACATTGTCCATTACTAGTACAGTAGTACTTAAGCTTTTCCTCTTGTTCATTATAAAATACTTTCTAAAATTATTGAAAACGAAATATTATTTTAGCCTTTCTTACTAGCATACTTTGTATAAATTCTGAAAAAAAAGGCTTGAATATATGAAATATATAGACAAGCTTGGATTTATTCTATATTTCTTGATGGCTTAAAAATGAAGAAAAAAAGAGGGGAGAAATCTTCATCCAGTCTCTTATGGGTGACTGCTACCGATTCAATAAGAGTTTGGCCTAGGAACCATTGTTTAAGTCGGTGTTAATCATATCTTTTTCATTGGAATATATCGCGTAAGGTTCCTATTGCATGATTAAAAATACATCTTCCCACTGCCACAATTGATAATGTAAATATTCCATTATGGCTTGACGAACTGTTAATTGTGACTATTAATACTATGCATATGTTGTATGTTGTCGTGTAGCTCTTTGAACTTCTATTTAACGCCTTCTATCCCTTTGCGACTTTTCAATCGCAAGACTGGGATAGAGGGTTTTCCTTTTGCTCCCATGTAACCCTCCTTCGTAGGTAATGTTATTCATTCCTATCTTCTATACCACTTATTTTCATAAGTATTTCTCATGGAATTCAATCTCCCCCTCTGATCTCCTTTCATTTTCTTTGCTTTCAATACTCTGGAAAATCTCTTTTAATATCCCATGGAAAGTCTCATCTAGACCAATGTTGTATATTTAAATTTGTGTCACTAGCATGTTGTTTGTGCGTTACATGAGATTTTAATTAAAGAAAATTATCATTAATCAGTTATTACCATCTTTTCTGTATATATCATTTCTTAATTGCTGCATATATTTGTTACTGACATGTGAATCCTTTGACCTTACAATATACTTTTTCCTCCCCACAGAAAGTAAAGAGTTGTTAGGGGTGGTTGACATGTGTGAGCCCTCTAGCCCCACCTATCTTTTATGTTTTATGCTCTCAAAAAAGTAGGGAGTTGGTGGTGCCACCACCACTTCCTCCTTTTCAGAGAGTATAGATATGAAAAACATGGTCTAGTATGTATGATATTTTGCCATGTTGGAGATCGATCGATCTATAAGATGATTTAAGATAGTTTTAAGCTTCTTACTCATATTTATATTTTTCTTCTACTAAAGTTTGACAATTTACATTTAACCATAATATCATAGCATAGCCATCTCGATGTTTTCATTGAAACATTTTTAGACACACACATGCCGTTTCCTTCCCAATCAAAATAAAATTCTACCAAAGTATTTTGTTGATACTTATGCAGGGAAAAACAAAACATCAATTGTTAGATCAAACATATGTTTCGATTCATTGATGTAAGATATCCAGCCACAAAAATATCAATTAATTCACCAGCTTTCATTCTCTTGTAAAAAAATATTAACTCTTTGATGGGAGATATGAAGTTGAACAGTAAAAACTGCAATAAATAAATGCAAACCTTATGCATATAAATTCTAACATTTAATTTAACAAATACCTACCAATTATATATATCCCTAACATTAATACATAAACACCATGTATATGTGTTTAATGTTAGAGATACAGGTGGTGATGTGTAATTTTGTCTATAACTATTAATGTTAGGGATACGTCTAGTTTGTATTTTGTTTGATAGCATCTTTAACCGTACATTCATGAGATGCAGGTAAATTAAATGTTTGAGTTATATCTTGTTTGTATTTTTAAGATATGTAGATTTTTAGTGTTGGAGATACAATTGTTATATATTTAAATTCATTCATGACTAGAGATACGATTAACCAGATATATTCATCCATAGAGATTAGTGGGTATATTTGGTTGATCACATCTGCAGCCATCAAAGAATTTAAAGATATAACAGTTATATCACCAACATTAAAAGCCTACATCTTCTTAAGCATATCTTTAAAGATACACAATCCAGCAAAAAAAAAAATACAAACAAGACGTATCTCCAACATTTAATTTACCTACATCTTTTAAACGTATCGTTAAAGATATCCTCTGACAAAATTACATACCAGACGTGTATCTCCAACATTAATAGTTGCACACGAAATCCAAAAATATACACATCACCCCCCTCCCCTACATCTCCAACATTAATAGATGAATTTCCCTCACATCTCCCATGTGTGCATGCATCTTTTTTTGTTGTTTGCTGGTTGTATGGTTTTTTGGTATTAGGCTAAAACTGTGGTTAAATCAGTGGTATAAAAAGGGGTAGAGGGAGGGTGGCCTCCATCAGTCACCACAACCCCCCCCCCCCCTCTCTCTCTCTCTCTCCTCTCCTCCATATTTTTCTTTCTCATCTCATCACACTTGGAGTTTGCCAATAGAATACAAAAACAGCAGGTGAGGAGAGAGGAGAGAAAAAAAAACAGAGCTTTCTCTCTCTCCCTCCCTCTCTCTCTCTCTTCTTCCAATCTGCGGCGCGAGGCGGAGGTGGTGGTGGTGGTGGTGGGCGCCGCCGGCGAGATGGGCCCGTAGGCGCCGGTGTGGGCGGCATCCTGTCCTCGCCGACCACCCGCCCCCGCCGGTGCGGCCTCGCCGGCAAGAAGTCTTTGTTTTTCTTTTCTTTTTTTTTTTCATCTTTGAAGGTGCGTCGCCGACTACCTCCTTGTGCTTCAATCTCGGTTCGAATCGAATGGAAGATTTTGTTTTTCGTGAGAAATTTCGGGGCTTGAGATGAACACATGGGCGCTCGAGCCACCCCGGTGCTTGTGGGGAGCAGACAGATTTTTCTTTCTTTTTTTTTTGGGTTGTTGTTGTTGGGTCTATTTGATGCAGGGATTAGGTTGTGTAGATCTTGTTTCTGAAACGCTTGCAGTTTTTTTTTGCGGTTTTTTTTTCTGTATTGGTTCTGATCGTTTTGTGTGCTGTCGTTGCAGATTGGATCCTTAATTTAGGGGCGAAAAGAGGGGAGTTTGCAAGAGGAATCATCCCTATTGGGTTGTTTCTTGCTGCTGGGTAAGATCCAATCCAGCCTCTAGGTTAGGTTTGTTTGCTGTTGGTGAGGAGATTGAAGGGTTGGCTGGTCATGTTGGGGGACCAGCGCAGGAAATTCCTGCTAGAGTCAGCGAGCTCATCATCTGAAGAGGTTGTTTCAAGAAGCCGGAACCTTGCGGTTGAGAGCTCGGCGGTGGCGGTGACGGCGGCGGGGGTGAGGAAGGGAGAAGAGGTGGAGGAGGAGGAGCTCTTGAACCGTAGAAGCAAGAAGAATAAGGTTGCCAGTGATTCGGGGAATTCCGGTACCGGAGTTTGGGACTCAGAAATGCAGGATGCTGATCAGAATGGTGAAGCCAACACAAGCGAGCTCATAGGCGCGATCGGGCGGGAGCTGGCCATTACATGCCTGCTCCATACCCCCCGGTCTTATTATGGTATGATAGCATGCCTCAACCGGTCCTTCTGCTCCCTTATGAGGTCCGGGCAGCTGTATAGATTGCGGCGGGAGGCTCGCATTGTTGAGCACATGATCTACTGCTCCTGCAATGTGCTTGAGTGGGATGGCTTTGATCCGTGCCGCCAGCGCTGGTTCAACATCCCTTCCATGCCTCCCATAGAGTGCTTCACGCTTGCTGATAAGGAGTCCCTTGCTGTGGGAACCAATATCCTTGTTTTCGGGAAGAAGGTGGAGGCCCATGTTGTGCTGAGGTATAGCCTCCTAAGTAACTCTTGGACAACAGGAGATATGATGAACTCGCCCAGGTGCTTGTTTGGCTCGGCAAGCTTTGGTGAGAAGGCAATCGTAGCTGGTGGTATCGGTGATAATGGTACATTGAGCTCTGCTGAGCTCTATGATTCTGAAGCGAAGACATGGACCACTCTCCCAAGCATGAATAGGGCGCGGAAGATGTGTTCTGGTTTCTTCATGGATGGTAAATTTTATGTTATTGGCGGGAAAGCTGATAACCATAATGAGATCCTTAATTGTGGTGAGGAGTTTGATTTGGAGAAGGGCACCTGGCGTTTGATCCCAGATATGGCATCTGGCCTTAATGGCGGCAGTGGTGCTCCACCACTTGTTGCTGTTGTGAATAATGAACTTTATGCTGCTGATTATGCAGAGAAGGAGGTGAGGAGATATGACAAGGTTAATAATGCATGGATCACTCTTGGATCATTGCCTGAGAAGTATACATCAGTTAATGGCTGGGGTTTGGCATTTCGTGGTTGTGGAGATAAGCTCATTGTGATTGGTGGAATGAGTGCACCTGGTGGTGGAGTGATTGAAATTTGTTCATGGATACCCAATAATGGACAGCCAGATTGGAAAATCATTGGCAGCCGCCGTTCTGGAAGCTTTGTGTACAATTGTGCTGTGATGGGCTGTTGACATACCAGGGCTATTACATTATTGACTGTACATCTTGACCAAAAGGAAGGATAAAAGAGGCAAATTCTTCTGAGCTTGTTTAGTGATTGTGCTCGATGGGTAATTTCTGCCTTCTCTGGCATTTTAGGCTGAGCTGAAGATTGGGTAGAATTTCTCATGTAGCTTCTTACTTGCTTATGTCTAATCTCTTCATTTTAATTCCATTTGGAGGGCCTGCAAATGGTTTCCAGAAAGTGGGACATGCAGCGCAGCATTAGATTAATAATTTGGTGCAACCTCAACATTTTGATCTACCTTGGATACCTTCATGAAAGTTTTTTAGCTCCAGAGAGTAGGTTACATTGGCAAACCATTTGCCCATAGATTGTAAGAAATAAAGGAAGAAAGAAAAAATGTCCTTGTTGACGATTATTGCCTTGTTTTCTTTGCCTCTTCTGGGTTAGCTGTGACTAGCGAACATTGTGATTTTTTTGTTTATTTATGAATTGAGTTGTTAGATATATTGAGTGATAATTGCCCATTGACTATCTAAATTATGGTGTCTGAGTTGTTGATTCTGTGAGATTCACTTGTGGTTAGAAGACCATCATTGGTCTTCGTGTGGCCTAACATTCTAGTTTTGGAAGACAAAAGGCTGCATGAGATTAAATTGACATTCTGAACTTGTTCAATAGACTTATCCTCCGTGTAGTATTTATTGTATGGTGCCTGTTGTTAACATACTTGAGTTTGGAACACAGTGTGTTCCCTCATTTTGTCACTAACATTTAAACATGTTCAGCTTAGTACTTATATATGAAATTATGAACAGCATTTGTTTGTTCCATCTTAAGACTTTGTTATGATCAATTTAAGGAAACTATGTTAGTTAAGGGCATAATAGCCAGGAGTGAGTTGTATGTTTGTTGAGTTAATGCCTAACGGGGATTAAACCTTAACTACTTCAGCACATTTGAGCTACAAGTTTAGGCTAGGACTAACATGCAGCTTATCTTGAGCTTATTGAATAAGCTCCTGGATAAGCTTAAGCTGGTGAGGAGGTGTCTGGTTGACAAGCAGAAGGCCTTATACACTTGCACATTGGAGGAAATTCAGAAGGCCTTGTACACTTGCACATTGGATGAACTTCAGAAGGCCTTATACACTTGCACATTGGAGGAACTTCAAAGGGCTACTCATGATAAGTGCTTTCTCTTTTTTTATTATAGAAAAAATATCATGCTTGTCGTATGCATTTTTCTCCTCATCTGTTCAAAAGCAAACTAAATATGTGTTAGATTGACATTTTTATTGTCTAATGAGTCCCCAGGCGACAGATTCTTCTTACATGGAGTCCTATGGTGCAGTCTTTTGAAGCACATCGGCAGTATTTACCTGAAGTATGATAACATTGAACTACTCTTCCATATGGGCTTGACATTACATGTGAATAGTGAGTACTGAGCAGAAACAACAATTGATCTACTGTAACAACTGACCAAATCAGTTTCTGTTCATTTTCTTTTAATAATAATTGTATCACAATCCCTTGCGAATTGAAAACAATAAGTATACCGATTACCCTGTGTTGCTAATGGGGCTTAAAAAATAACAGCCTACAATACTTTGTCTTTGCAGGACACATTATGAGATTATAGATAATCTTCACTAAGCTTATGTATTTATTTGGCGTAGTTATTTGAAATAAAAATCACATTTGTCCTTATCTGCATATCTTTGTTTCCTCCTTTTTGTTCGTTCATATATACCATGGGCATTTTGTGGTAGTCTGTGAGAGATTCTTTTGCGAATGACATTTGGGAATAAATTCTTCATGTCTGCCTGGCTAATTTTCTTGTTATTCTTCTTCTTTTCAATTGACTTGAGGCCAATCATATAGGTCATTAGCCACAGTGAATATTTACAAAATTTAACATCTGTGTGCATGGGCCTGCTTAAATTCAAGGTTGCCCAATTTTTTTTCTCAGTGTTCATTCTTATGGAAAACCTTTGTGATGCTGAAAAGTACATATCTAACACTTTAGGCTATCTCAGAGAGCTTCAAGTCGGATGTCATATGTGGAACATGTTATGAGTTAGCAGGTAGTTTGTGGAATGCAGTATTCAATGTAACCAAGTTAGCAGTAGGAATTATTCCAAATGTTATGGCGTAATCCTGACTAATAAACAAGGTTTGCATGAACAGAAGAAGAAAGGAATATACTTATCTATTTTATTGCTTCATTTCATGCTCTGTGTCACTCCAATGTTTTGTAGGGAATACAGATAAGATTCAAAGTTAACAGTTATTTTAGTGGGTATCATGCAGTTGCCGCTTTGCTTTTCTACACAGTTAACCTGCTATAAATTCTTGGTTCGGTCCTGGACTCCTGTCAGAAGCAGGTTTTGCATATCTTGAAGTTATAATTTCCTCTTTAGTGCTGTTATATTCTTAGGTAACATTAAACTTCATATTGATGACACTATACTCAACTGAAGTGCATCGCAGTTTCAGTTGCTAACCTGCTATATATCAATCGTCATGGTATGTTACTCCTATTTGGAGCTAAGATATTACCCCTTTCTTTGTTTAGGTTTTCACGCCTTCTACAGCATATGTTGAGTTAAAATTCATGAAAAGGAATCCGATGATTGTGTGGTGTCTCTGGCATGACTAGGTCAGTAGATGATTACCACTTAACATAATAACATTTATTTTGTTTATGTTTATGCTCCAGAGATCCTGCTACATACATCTTTTAATTACCCTTTTTTGCATGGTATCGATGGCATTGTTTATCTCATTTCTTTAATTATTAATACATGTCAAGTAAAACCACTTAATCCTCTCTTGTGATATTCAGTATCATACATCCTTCCATCTTCCGAGTTTAAATTGTCCGTCAAGACTGTTGATAGATGTATCATTTTCTGTTGGCTGGATCAAAATACTGTTAACATGTTTAATCAGATTTAAGTACCTTTAACCATTTAGCAGGTTAATAGTAGTTAGTATTTAGTAACATACAAACGTGTAGGAACTTCATGGCTTTCAGGCTGTCTTGAACTGTGACGTTTAATTTATATTTTTGTGGATAAGCCATTTCTAAATACAAAGTGACTTGGGAATTGGAAGCAAGGTGTAAAACATTCAATCAATAAGTACTGCTAGTTGACTAGCAATGGTACATTATATTTGAACTTGAAGTTCATCTCGATATTTCTGGAGTCATTATTGATACTTACTTAATAGCCCTACTTCATAAAACTTGATCACAATATCTTGATATGAGGTTAGGAAATTAGGATCATAATATAAGACATTCTCATGCACTTTGTGGAAATTAGGGTGTCGGTTTCATTTGGTTTTTGCTATGTGTAGTGATGAATTTATTATCCCTTCCCCAAATACCTTTTGTGCCTTTGGCTATTTGTCCGTTGTTGTGAGAAGTATCTTGAAGTGGTTTGTCTAGTAGAATAGACATGATATGATTACATAAAAAATAATTCAAAATATAAATGGAATTATAGTATAGTTCATCATGTTAACTCTTATACTAGAGAATAGGTCATTTCTGCCATAGTATTTATCTGCATCATTACTGCGAGAGGAGTTTTCTTTTTCATATAGAACAATGGGAAACACTTAGTTGTTCAAAGCAACTGAGAATAAAGCTTGGATCATCTAGGGTACAAAAAAATGTCTGTCCACCTATGAATTTAGTAGTGACAGCTGCATTGCTTTCTAGACTAGTTCCTTGTTTGCTTGAGTTAATGAGTTCAGTTATGTAGCTCAAACTAGACCCCTATGTTTGTAGAATTTTACTAAGCATTGAAGCATATACTTACAAATCACTGTTGATATTTTATGATAATATTTAGTACATGTTATTCACTTCTGTGGCTACTTGTGCCTATCCTCTAGTTCCTAGATATTCTAGTCCAATGAATTTTGCACCATTTTAGTTATGGACAATGGAGTAGGTATTTTATGTCCCTCTCCAGAGAATGGCATAGGACCTGCTTTACATTTTGGTAATTTGCAGACCTGCTGGCAATACATGAATTTCTACTTTGCCATCATACTTCGGTGGTAATTATTCTGCTCTAAGCTATTATGAGATTAAAAATGTCAAAATGCAAACATTGAAGAATAGTCTTGTCTGCATAGTCTCATAATCACACCCTGGTCTTCTATAATTTGCCAAAATTATTCACCTGAGCTATCAGCAGTTTTCATACCCATCATCATTTTGCCAGCAGTTCTTTTTTTTGTTCAAATATAAGTCAACATGCCATGTTACATTTAGTTTTTTTTTTTTAAAAAAAAATGATGTTGCCTATTTGTTCACATTGCTTTCTTTTAGCATTTGAATCTAATGACATGTTTTCCCCTTTTGATGCCTAACAGAATTTGAATTTACTTTTTGTATATGTATATTGCTACTGCAGTATTGTTGATATTTCTAATATGTTTGGTTTTCATCCCTGTTCAATTATCAAAGCAATTTTTAGATTGTCAAGTTGGTTTTACACCGGGGGCAATATTTTCATTGCTTTGATCTTTTGATTCATGGAGAAGTTAGAACTTAGAAATGCCTTCTTTACTAGGGATAATATCAGTGGAGAACAAATTAAAGCACGGAACAAGCATATAAAATGTTCTTGAAGAACTTTTCCTTGGTGCTTCACCTGGAGAACCAAGAAAAGCAGAAGCAGAAAAGACAAGCAATCAAACAAACGGTGTTACTCAGAAGTGCAACAAGCCTCTCAAAGTAGAATCAAATTCTTTCCCATTAATGGAGATATTTTTAATTATATTAAAATTTTAATTATAAATATTTCTTTGATCCAGAGAATCCCCATTCCGTTCATATGTGCTGCAGGATTCGATTTGGTAGAATCTCCAACAGAACCACTCCATTAGGAGCATATGTCTTGGTGGCTACATGATGATGAAAGCTCCAATATCCAAGATCAAATTTCAACTCTGTAAACTATCTACGCGTGGGGATCGAACGGCGGTATGTAAAAGCTTCCCATTTACTTGATTGAAAGCAAATTTATATACAGTTCTATGATGTAACTATGCCATGTGTCATTTTAGAAATTCCCTCCAAAGGAAGCTGGGAGCATAAAGTCATTGCTATGGAATTTGTCCTGCCCTATATTGTTCTTGATACGCACCTACTTGGAGCATAAAGGTGCTAATGTCACTGCTTTATGGGCATGATGTGTCTATATTTTGTTGGTATGAAGTCCAATTATGTGTTTTCCCTATCAATTTGCACAGGTCACAACCCACAAGATTAGATGCAACTCACTCAGCTGAGGGGCATGTGAATCGCTTTTATGTGGACGTTGCACTAGCTCTTGAGAAGACATTAGCATTACCGAACATGTCGACCCCAACTGAACATGCAAGTGAATGTGCATCAGGCTCGTCTCAACGCTACAGTTTCTCTTCACTTCACTTCACTTGTCACTTGCTGGTCGAGTCGAAAGGCTATGCCAATGGAGACCTGTAAGTTGTTTTTCAGGCTTACTACTTTCTTGGTGCTGTCATGTCAAGAAATTGCATACTGCAAGTTACCAAACATTAACTGTTGGGAAAGTGGCGCCTTTTGCGTTAGCACTAATCACAAGTTGGCAGAATCGTGGCATCTTCTGCTTTTTGCAGTTCCCTCACTTGCGGTCCATAACAGAGTGCACAACTGATCTGGTATACCCTATGATTCTTCAGGTGTTTCCTTTTCTTTTCCTTTTGAGAGTCCTTGGTCTTCATCGCCATGTTTTTGTTCATTTATGTGCAGCAAATTTAAGCGATGCCATCTTAGCGTCAACTATTCGACTGCTAGGTTATTCTTACATATTCTTCTATCTTTCCATAGGGTTACATTTTAAGAACTTGCACATAGATCAAGATGTGTTACCGTATGAATGGCACTCTATCTTTCCTTTGATGACCTTAGCATGCTCCAATTCCTCCAGCAGTCCAACTTGCTCCACCTATTAAAAGAATTCGTTGCGGAGGACCTTCCAATCTCGAGATTCCTCGTTTCCATTTGTCCATCCAACATTCCTGAAACATGGTTCTGGTTTTTAATAGTTAGGATCTTTGTTTTTTTACTCGAAGAGCACTCTGGCCAATGTGACATTCTTGCCATTTCTCATATATATGTTTGGCCCACATCCTAATATATACCCACTTGTCTTGAGAGAATTGCATAAGTGTGGAAGATGCTAGCCTATATTAATATAATATAATGCCCATTCAGATATTCTTTTAGGAGCCTATGGGTATAGTACCTATTCATTTGACAACAATTGATATAGGTGATAATTTTATAAGAAGATGATGACAATGGCAGCATAATAATTTCATGATCACTAGTTTCAGAAAGTGAATCCTAAAAAACTAGAGACAATTCTATGTGGTGTTTAAGGAGGCCACGATTTTATTGCCTGCTTCATACTCCCACCTTTTTTCGAATAGTTGACACTAGACAACATGACTCTTATTTCAAAACTGACCAACAAAAAAATTATTATATTATTCTATTTTGTAGGTTATTAAATTATTAAAAAATATATTATCGTATTAAGATTCGTTCCACACCATACTTCCATATTATTGGAAGTTCCAAGTAATTCTAAATTCGTTATAGAGAAAAGAGTGACCGTACTTAATTGAACACTAGTGTCCATACATGCTATGCCAATAAGTTTTATGGGTTTGAAGACCGACTGATCAAGTTTAAATTATTGAACATGGACAGCATATTTTGCTAAGTCCATGAAAGTTCACTCATAGCATTGCTCACTTCATGCAAGATTTTGTTTCCATTTCTCCTTGCAAGATTTTGCTCGGATCACGCGGTTTCCGTAAAAGACAAAACCATTCCTCACTTCATTTTTGTTTTGTGCTAGAGTAGGAAAAAGAAAGGAGATGCCGAAGTGGACATGAGTTCTGTGAGAGGTACCATCTCTCACCTGTGCTGTCCTGTCCAAGAAAGAAGAAGAAGAAGAAAAAAGAGAAGAAAAAGGGGAGAAGAAAAACGGACGATCATGAGGTAGTCCATGTCATATAGAATCACAACAAGTAGGATCACCAAACTTTCCCTGTTGGAAAATGATATATGCTTGGGCAGCATTGACAGTGGATGTGAAGGCAAGTTGGCAAATGGCAAGCATAGTGGCGTCTTAGCCCTCCTCCTCTGGCTGTAATTATTCCCTAATTTTTGTATCTTCTCTTTTTCTTCCCTGGATGCATAATCATTGTTGTATACTGATTTTGAAATGCAAAAAAAGGAGAAATTTTCTGAACCTCATTAATGTTTGTGAGAATTTTGTACATGGCTCTGATTATCACATCAGGATGATGGGTACATCAGTTGAAATGCAAAAAAAAAAAAAAAAACAAAAAAAACAAAAAACAAAACAAAACAAAACAGGAGGATAAATTTTCGAGCAGGGTGTTGAAATGCAAAACGAACAGGTTGTTTCTTTTTTTCACGGGAAAGAACAGGGTGTTTCTGAATCATCAGGAACAGGGTTTTAATGGAATTCGATGGATTTTGACGACACTTCTTCAAAATTTGTCGATAACATAACAGGAGTGAATTATCTAGCGAACGCCATTTGTAGGAAAATGCGCTGTATGATTGGATTTAGATCTTTTGGTCTGAACATGTAAATATTACCTGACACGCTACTAAATTAATCTTAACTACATAATCCATGTTGCAACTTCCAATCCATAAAAACACTAAAAACAGCATTGGTACGAGTGAGTATAAACTAGTTCAAGCACACTGGTACGAGTGAGGATTACCATGAAACGAATCCATAAAACAGCATTGACCACAATGCCGAATGCAAAAACATATAAAACACCAAAATTAAACATCTCCAGGCATATCTTTAATTCGAGCTACCTAACATGGTGCCAAAAAGAGCTAACATAAACCAACATCTGAAGGCCAACCTGCTTGAATTCTGAAACCCAGATAGGCAAGCTACAGAATTTGGGCCCAGTTACTCAGCACAGAAAGTTTTATGATCATTACGGAAACAACTAGTTGCAAACTTCTTCTCATTCCTCATCTTCCTCCTCACCATCACCGCCACCGCCGCTTGCCTTCTTCTGGTTCTTCCTCTTCACCCTACCAGGGGGGCCTCCACCGAATGGGCTTGTCAGTGAGAAGTCAATGTGTTTCTCAGACTCAACCCTCACCATGAACGACGGGATGTTGACAATTTGCCTGCCGACCCTGCACAGTGATTTTGAAACTTTAATGAATGATCTTCAGGAAGGCTATCAACTTGGAAAAAAATATTAACAATGGCAACATCATGTTCAACTTATGGTCGACAAGTCGTCAAACAGTAACTTTAGAGTGCATTAAAGAATGTTGTGGCAGTAGCCTTTTTCAGGACAAAATCATGTGAAGTTGCCAAATGTTCTCATCATCGCTGTACATAGTTCAACCTAACAAACTAATCTAGAATTATAACACTGCAGAAGGCAAGTAACGAACTACAGCAACAGCAAGTGGTACGAACCAAATTGCTTGTTCAAAGTTAAACATCACAGGTAATATGTACACATGAAAAGAGTAACACTTGTACTCAAGGAACATTGAATCCTGTTTAGAAAAATGTTGTGCAATTAAGTTCAACACTCTCAAATGCGACATTGACAAGCACAAGAAGAGTATCAAATACACGAAAAAGACTAACTTGAAAGCATCTGCACACTCAAATTATAGGAAGTTAACAGGAGTACAGGACCAATACTAATATATTATGACCTTCAGCTTTCAGCTCATAGGGCATGTGTTGTGCCTAAAATGACATTTTAGCTCTGCCTACACAATGCTGGATCAAGAGAAATGATGAATATACAGTGAACGATTACTATGAGAGAATGATACAGCTTCCATGCTGCTGTAGAAGAATCATATAGAAGCATACTTGGGAATACAAACTAAAGAGAGAACATACTGAGCCATGGAAATTGTAATACCTAGAGCTTCATATTTACCCATTTACAAGACAGGAGATCTGTAGTAGTTAAATCATCATACCTGATGTGGCGTTGCCTGATCAGGACACGAGCATGGTGGATGGACTTGGCCATGCCAGCCTTGAAGACAAGAGTCTGAAGACGCCTTGCGAGGAAGTTCTCAACAGTGAGGGCAAGGACATAATCAAGCTTGTTCTGCCCATCAGCAAGGAGCCCATAACGGTTCATGCGGCGAAGCAGTGCCTCACCCTCGAAGATGCGGCGTGGATTCTTCTCATCAAGTGTGAGCAGGTGCCTTGCATTGTTACGGATACGGCTCAAAGCATACTGAACACGCCACAGCTCACGCTTGCACCTCAGTCCATACTCACCCACTAGCTTCAGCTCTGCATCAAGACGCTCCTTCTCGTAAGGGCGACGTGGCTTCTTGAATGTCTTACCATCTGCAATGAAGTAATAAATTTGTTCATAACACTTGACAGAGAAAGAAACCACTGTAGATAGTATAGTTGTTCATAAGAACCAAACAATAACATAGAAAGAAGCCCTACAGTCCCAAATTCCTTATATCCTGACCCCAAAAATATACAAAGCAAGAAAGCAACTGCACACACAACCCAGAAAGACAATGCAACAACACAAATAAAGAAAACTACAGTAGTTGTTGAGATTACGCCCAATAATAGTATGGATATTCAAGACAAATAGTAGTAGGGATCTTGTGTACAGTAAATACTATAAGAGCTTCAGATATACAACCATGTTTGACAAGGATTTATAAAACAATTCATAACATTGTGTCTGATTAACCCATAAATAGCTTACATGCCAGATTTAGTTTTGCTGTGTTATCCCTGGTTAGCCATATCATACATACCTAAATTATTTGTTCTACTGTAAAATGGAATTCATGACCTAAAGCGACAATACTTGAAAGATCTCATCAGGAACTATCATATAATATATTTAAGAAAATATACATATAGAATACAATTAGCATACTACAACTTACACAGAAATTTTAAAAAAAATAACAAATATAGTTCTCGATGGACCACTCTATGTATAAACAAACAGTTAGTGCATTACAAGTATATAGTCCTCTATATTAAGCTCCATGATTCATTTTCGTAACAAAATTCACAAGCTTATGCATAACTCCATTCCACCAAATGAGTGATCAAACAGAATACTTGAGAACAAAAAAACTCTAGCTAATGAAACTCATATTTCCAGTCCTTAAAACAGGTAAATTATCAAATTTTGTACCATAACAGAAACAACCATTTTCAAGCTACATAGTACCAAATGCCAAATGAGTAAACATGTCCTCATTCCTCAGTACTAATCAACACATCTTAGCATTCTAGTTAAAACCCCCCCAAAATCTACATATCTCGAAATTAAATCCGCACCACACAAGTTTCAACAACAGAATGCGCAGTCAGTCGAAATCAGCACGAACTAATCGGCATAGGTACGGATCCAACGCAATGGAAACGAGAATATGAACAAAGCTACGGGAACAGACCGCGTCGAGGCAAATCTTGATCCAGATCATCTCGCCAACCGAACCAGCCATCCCCTCATTAACTAACCGCCACTCGCTAATCAACTAACACACCGAAGCAAGAAAAGAGATAAAAAAAAAAGAAAAGAACATTCTCTCGCTGCGCCAAATCGCACTAGCACCAACCAAGACGACGCGCCGTTCTTGGACGAGAGAGAGGGAGAGGAGGAGGAGGAGCTACGTACAGTTGCGGTAGAAGCTGACGTGGACCATCGTCGCCGGACCGCCTCTCCCGCGTCGCCGCCGCCGCCGATTGCTGGAGCTATGGTTTCCCGAGGGGAGGAGGAGTGAAGAGGAGAGCGCTTTTATATGCGGCGACGAGAGGAAACCCTAGCTTGAGGGCTAGGTTAAATGGGCCGAGATTTCTCGGCCCATTAACGCACGGGTGGCAATTAGGCCCACATATCGAGATCATAAATGGGCCTTCGGTGAGAAGGCCCATATTTGCAAGGAAAAAGTACACCAAAAGGTCCCTCAACTTATCATCCAGATACAAAATCGTGCCTCAACCGTAAAAGCAGATACGTCCCTCAACTAACAAAACCGTTCACTTTATATTCTTGGCTGGTTTTGACCCCGGTTTTATCCTACGTAGCAACAGAGTCAGCATGAGTCCCACACGTCATGTGACCACGTCATCATCTCTCTCCCTTCTCTCCCTTCCTCCTCTCTCTCATTTTTTACAACATACGGGCGGCGCGGTGGAGCGGTGGCGACGGCTGGCCGGGCGCAGGTGGGGCGCCGCGGCGGTGGGTGTGGAGGCTAAGGCGAGGCCGGGCGCCGCGGCGACGGGCGCAGAGGTGGAGGCAGGCGCCATGGCAGCCGTAAGCGAGCTTCTTGGCGGCGACGGACAGGCCGCGAAGGAGCGGGAGGACCTCCGGATAGAAACCAAAAGCCATGGAAGGCCTGCACCGAGAACGACTCGATCCGCCACCTATGCCGACTCCGACAACCCCTGCCTCGACTTCTTCTTCCAGATCACGGGCATCCATGGAGCTCGCGGTCGGGGCAGCCGCCACGGCCTCATGCTCCTCCGGCACCTCGCTCCATCTTCCACGGGCTCCACCTCCACCTCCGGGGTCGCAGCTTACCTGCTCGACGGGCGACTGCCGCGGCCGCGCGCGGCGATCGCCGTCGAGCCGGTGAATTTTGATGCTGTAATAGCAGTGTTGCTCCCATCTGCCTGACATGTGTTCTATGTTACGCGGACCTGGCAAATCTGGCAACCATTTTTTCTTGCCTACTGTGGTGATTTCTTGCCTATGCTTTAAAAAATATCTTTGCATGTATGAATGGTTAGCTGCTCATTTTCCTCCTTTGCTATATGTGCATAGGAGGCCATACGCCTACATGACCAGCCGGTGTTGGCTATGCTGCTGCTACCCGTTCGCCGCTGCCTCCTCTTTTCTTTTCTTCCCAGGATGCATAGTGAATGAATCATTGTTGTTTACTGATTTTGAAATGCAAAAGGAGAAATTTTCTGAACCTCATTAATGTTTGAGAGAATTTTGTACATTGCTCTGATTATCACATCAGGATGATGGTGATATCAGTTGAAATACAAAAAAATAGGAGGGGAAAAAAATTTCGAGCAGAGTATTGAAACGCAAAAAGAACAGGAGGAAAAATCTTCTGAATAATGCCATCAGTAACAGGTTTTTGATGGAATTCGATGGATTTTGATGACACTTCTTCAAAATTTGTCGATCACATAGGAGTGAATTATCTAGCGAACGCCATTTGTAGGAAAATGCGCTGTATGATTGGATTTGGATCTTTTTGGTCTGAACATGTAAATATTACCTGACACGCTACTAAATTAATCTTAACAACTCCATAATCCATGTTGCAACTTCCAATCCATAAAAACACTAAAAACAGCATCGGTACGAGTATCACTAGTTCAAGCACACTGGTACGAGTGAGAATTACCATGAAACGAATCCATAAAACAGCATTAACCACAAGTCTATGCCGAATGCAAAAACATCTCCAGATATATCTTTAATTCGAGCTATCTAACATAATGCCAAAAAGTGCTAACATAAACCAACATATTAAGGACACAACCTGCTTGAATTCTGAAACCCAGATAGGCAAGCTACAGAATTTGGGCCCAGTTACTCAGCACAGAAAGTTTTATGATCGTTACGGAAACAACTAGCTGCAAACTTCTTCTCATTCCTCATCTTCTTCCTCACCGTCACCACCACCGCCGCTTGCCTTCTTCTGGTTCTTCCGCTTCACCCTACCAGGGGGGCCTCCACCGAATGGGCTTGTCAGTGAGAAGTCAATGTGCTTCTCAGACTCAACCCTCACCATGAATGATGGGATGTTGACAATTTGCCTGCCGACCCTGCCCAGTGATTTTGAAACTTTAATGAATGATCTTCAGAAAGGCTATCAACTTGGAAAAAAATATTAGCAATAGCAACATCACGTTCAACTTATGGTCGACAAGTCCTCTAAAATAGTAACTTTAGAGTGCATTAAAGAATGTTGTGGCAGTAGCCTTTTTCAGGACAATCATGTGAAGTTGCCAAATGTTCTCATCATCGCTGTACATAGTTCAACCTAACAAACTAATCTAGATTTATAACACTGCAGCAGGCAAGTAACGAACTACAGCAACAGCAAGTGGTGCGTGCCAAATTGCTTGTTCAAAGTTAAACATCACAGGTAATATGTACATATGAAAAGAGTAACACTAGTAAAGGAACATTGATGTAAAGGAACATCATGTAAAGTAACGAACTACAGCAACAGCACGTGGTGCGTGCCAAATTGCTTGTTCAAAGTTAAACATCGCAGGTAATATGTACACATGAAAAGAGTAACACTCTCAAATGCGACATTGACAAGCCCAACAAGAGTATCAAATGCACGAAAAAGACTAACTTGAAAGCATCTGCACACTCAAATGATGGGAAGTTAACAGGAGTACAGGACCAATACTAATATATTATGACCTTCAGCTTTCAGCTCATAGAGCATGTGTTGTGCCTAAAATGACATTTTAGCTCTGCCTACACAATGCTAGATCAACAGAAATGATGAATATACAGTGAACGATTACTATGAGAGAATGATACAGCTTCCATGCTGCTGTAGAAGAATCATATAGAAGCATACTTGGGAATCCAAACTAAAGAGAGAACATACTGAGCCATGGAAATTGTAATATAAAGGTTAGAGCTTCATATTTACCCATTTACAAGACAGGGGATCTGTAGTAGTTAAATAATCATACCTGATGTGGCGTTGCCTGATCAGGACACGAGCATGGTGGATGGACTTGGCCATGCCAGCCTTGAAGACAAGAGTCTGAAGACGCCTTGCGAGAAAGTTCTCAACAGTGAGGGCAAGGACATAATCAAGCTTGTTCTGCCCATCAGCAAGGAGCCCATAACGGTTCATGCGGCGAAGCAGTGCCTCACCCTCGAAGATGCGGCGTGGATTCTTCTCATCAAGTGTGAGCAGGTGCCTTGCATTGTTACGGATACGGCTCAAAGCATACTGAACACGCCACAGCTCACGCTTGCACCTCAGTCCATACTCACCCACTAGCTTCAGCTCTGCATCAAGACGCTCCTTCTCGTAAGGGCGACGTGGCTTCTTGAATGTCTTACCATCTGCAATGAAGTAATAAATTTGTTCATAACACTTGACAGAGAAAGAAACCACTGTAGATAGTATAGTTGTTCATAAGAACCAAACAATAACATAGAAAGAAGCCCTACAGTCCCAAATTCCTTATATCCTGACCCCAAAAATATACAAAGCAAGAAAGCAACTGCACACACAACCCAGAAAGACAATGCAACAATACAAATAAAGAAAACTACAGTAGTTGTTGAGATTACGCCCAATAATAGTATGGGTATTCAACACACAAATCTACATATCTCGAAATTAAATCCGCACCACGCAACTTTCAACCACAGAATGCGCGGTCAGTTCAAATCAGCACGAACTAATCGGCATAGATACGGACCCAACGCAGTGGAGACGAGAATATGAACAAAGCTACGGGAACAGACCGCGTCGAGGCAAATCTTGATCCAGATCATCTCGCCAACCGAACCAGCCATCGCCTCATCACCTAACCGCCACTCGCTAATCAACCAAGACACATAAGCAAGAAAAGAGGGAAAAATAAAAGGAGAACATTCTCTCGCTGCGTCAGATCGCACTAGCACCAACCAAGACGACGACGAAGAACACAACAGCTAAGGCCGGCCGTTCTTGGACGAGAGAGAGAGGGAGAGGAGGAGGAGGAGGAGCTACGTACAGTTGCGGTAGAAGCTGACGTGAACCATCGTCGCCGGACCGCCTCTCCCGCGTCGCCGCCGCCGCCGATTGCTGGAGCTTGGGTTTCTCGAGGGGAGGAGGAGCGCGGCGGCGAGGAGTGAAGAGGAGAGAGCTTTTATATGGCAGCGGCGAGAGGAAACCCTAGCTTTAGGGCTAGGTTAAATGGGCCGAGATTTCCCGGCCCATTAACGCACGGGTGGGAATTAGGCCCACACATCGAGATCATAAATGGGCCTTCGGTGCAGGGGTCATATTTACACCGCTCGTTAAATGGCCTTTTTCTCGTTCTTTTTTCCTTATTTTTATAAACAACAAAATCCGGGCATTCATCAACAGGAGGAAACGATTCCAGATAATCAACCAGAGAGGATTACGATGCAATGCTGATTGATATGGTCTCAATTCTACCAACTAGACAAGGTTTACAGCTTCAGGGGGAAAAAAGCATCATCATTTCATCACCAACTAAACATGGCAGATTTCTACATTACTCATCTACTGGTGTATATTGCAGAAATATGTTACATGATGACATGTCAGAACAATTGACATAGGATAAACTTAGGACAAGGAGGCGAGTTCCATTATCCTTGCTTTCTTGATGAAATGGCTCCTGGAGACTGCTACCTAATCAAAGAGGCTCTCTACACCGTGCTGATTTTTTTTGGCCCGTAAAATAAATGCAATGATCAAGTTAGTTGACATGATCAAGACTGCAACGAAAAATATATTTGTTGAGTTCAGGGCTTACATGTCTAGAGACCTCTAGCTGCAGTAACTATTCATCCTCAAAGATCATGAGGCAGCAAAGAGGCCCCATGAGTTGTGTTTCGGATATGTGCTCTGATAAGCAGAGGTTGGATGGCAGTCACACTTCAATTCCTTCTCCGGCTCAAATGCCACACTCTTGTTGCTCTTTTGTTTAAGTTCATCTGAATCCTTTAGTGAACCCTGCTCTTCTGAGTCTTTCTTGCGCTTTTCAGTATCTTCGAGTCTTTCTTGCGCTTTTCAGTATCTTCGAGTCTTTCAGTACCTTCTTTTGTTCTTTTGAATCCTTCGGTGCCTTCATATCTTCTTTCGAGTTCGATGACTTTTGACTCTATCAAAACTTTTGGTGGTTTCAGTTGTTTCGAATCTTTTTGATAGTTTTGATAGTTTCATCTGACAAAGGAAAGGTGCATGTTTTTATACTGTATCTAAGGAATGCATGAAAAGAAGTAAATAATGCTTGCAGTTGCGGGGTGACCAAAAAGTGAACTCATAATTTCCCTGCATTACAATAGGCAACATGTATTCCCCCAAAAAATGGCAAAATGATTCAAAGCCTATTTGTTAAATTTTTGCAATTGTTTTTTTTCATGTAGGCAAACATTGTATGGTCATAGCTACTACTTCTGTAATTCTGTTTCTATGCTAATGATATGCATCTAGCGTACCTGGATTTCACTTGGCCGTGTAGCCCTTTAGTACCGAGAGTGCCAATGTGGTGCCTGTATTCAGATCTAAAAAAGGTCTATTCACAGCTCACAAAGAAAATCCCTCTCTCTCCAGTCAGATCCGGTTGCGTTCTAGTTATTCGTCATATCAATAAGCCAAAAGAAATGTTCACAAAGAGTGCCAACTGAGGATTTGAAATTGCAACTGGATCAAAACTAGTATCTCCGCAGTACATAGAAATGCTAAGCTTCATTGTCTGAATTTCAGCTTGTATACAAGCAAGCTAGATAGAACACTGAAGCCAAGTATCACACCCCAGAGGTTGAACTCTACACTTTCCTTTTTGCTAATCAGTTCTTCCCTATTGGCTTCATCTCTGCTTGCTTCAGACCGCTGTTCACGGCACTGTTGCGGTATCCATCTAGTGATTGTTCTCTCGTGAACAACAAGCTGTTCTAAGCAATCTGGGGAGCTCAGTTCGCAACTGCCGCTGCTGATGGTCAGAACAAGCAATGTCTTGGCTACACTGCCAGAAGCCCGGAGAGCACATAGTAGATCAGACCACACCTCCATACGACCACACCTATTGCCAAACGCTGCGCCTTCTGGAACCACAACCACCGCAAATTCTGAGTGAACGAGTGCTGGATGGTGACGGTAAGACACAAAATCTGCACCATACTGCAACCCTGATCTCACCACCCAGTTCTTAAATCTCAGATGCGAGTAAGCCTTGTACATCTCTGGAAAGGACTCCGACATGGACCTGAAGTGATTCCACAGTTGCTTATCACTCATCTGCTTCTTGTCGTGTGACTCAACCCTGATGCAGTTCAGAACATGGCAGAGGTAGAAGACCTCCTCAGGGCTAAGTTGGAACCAGTGCTTCTGTGCCGCAGCAATTTCGACGGCGTGGCCAAAGGCAGCACGGTTTAGGATCACGGCTTGCTCTGGCTCAACTCCAAGAATGGCACCGCCACCTGGACCTGACAAAACTGCCACAGGCTTTGAGCTTATGAATGAGGCCTTGAGCTCAGCAACAATGACTGACATGGGATTAGCTGCTGCTAGTGCTGAGAAGTCCTTGCCATCGTTGCCCTTCTTCCATCTTGGACCTGGCAAATCCATATGCTGAACCCACTCGCAGAGGATGGACTAAAATTGATGCGTGGTCAAATGCTGTAGTGAATAGCAACGACAATAAAGCAACAAGTAAACAAAGTTGTCCAAACAAATACCTCAAGAAAGGAAGATTCACTACATGCATCACTAATTTATCGAACATGTTAATTTGTAAAGCATAGATACATAAATAATCTGCCAAACAACTATGCATTAAGTTATGGCCTCACGGGTTGAAAGAGAAAGGGAAATGGACCGAAGGCCCGACAACAACTTGCAGACTTGTCCACTGCGCTAAGGGTTAGGAATTGAGGATTGCTCTTCTGGCGAAAAGAAAAGGAAAGGACAGTAAAGGCTGAATGACTTCTAAAATGAAACAAAACAATAGACTCGTCACGAGCTTTTGAAATTCACAAACGGAAAAAGTTTCTAAAATCTGGTCATTTCCAAATAATTGAGAACAATCACGAGATAGATACCACAGCAGTGCCATGAACAATGGTCCAAACCTTACATGGGAAGAACTGACCAGCAAAAAGAAAAGGCGTACTAGTTATTATTCAACCACTGGGGTGTGTGTAATACTAGGCTTCAGTGTTCTATGCAGCTGCTTGTATTCAAGCTGAAATTCAGGCAATGAAGCTGAACATTTCGGTGTAACCTACCTATACAACCAAACGCTATAGAAGAAGATGGCATGAACCCTAACCATGAACAGAGGAGGGGACATGATCACCCCTACCTCTACTAGTGCAAACATTTCAAGCTCCATAGGATCAAATGCCAAAAGAGCAACCTGCCTTCATTCCTCGATACAAAAAGAACATATATTAGCAATCTATATTATCACCCAAACCGTCCTAAATAAGCCTCTACACATCTCCGAACTTGAAACGCACTACACCACACAAAGTTTCAACTAGAGAATGATGAGAAATCAGGGTTCGTATGACCTCAGACTCGGTTGTGCAGAACCCGTACGTATTTCGACAGTAAGATGCGTATGCCGTATGCATCGACAAACACACCGAAGCAACTACGGGGAGATTGGGAAAAGGAAAAAAAAAATCTAAATCTATCGCTGCGCCAAATCGAAGCACCAATCAAGACGGCGACGACGAAGAAGCTAACTAAACCGCCGTTCTCCGACGAGAGGGAGATGGGGGAGAAGGTACCTAAAATTGCAGTAGAAGCTGACGTGGACCACCGCCGCCGCCGCCGCCGCCGCCGCCACCGCGGATTGATTTGCTCAACCGAGGGGAGGAGCGCGGCGGCGAGAGGAAACCCTATCGATGGGCCGAACATAGATGGGCCGGAATTTAGGCCCACAAAATGATATCTTCATGGGCCTTCTGGCCTAGAAACTAGCGGGCCGGCTTACGTTGCTGCATCGCATCTACACAATAATTTCTCATTTTTATTACATTTTTTATTATAACAAAATTAGAAATTTATCAGTGTAAGAGAAAACGAGACCCACATAATCAAGAGAGGATTAGGATGCACTGAGAACTGATATAATCTGAATTCTACCAGCATCACCATTTTCATCACCAACCCACATTGCAGATTTCTACATTACTCATCATCTACTGGTGTAAATTAGAGAAATATGTTACATGGTGACCCAAGTCAGAACAATCGATAGAGGACAGCTAGAACAAGAGAGTTTAAATGGCCTCCTAGCTACTTCTAACTAACTGAAGACTCTTCACCGGGCTGCTTTTTTTTTTTGGCCTGCACAAGAAATGCAACTGATCAACACATCAAGTCTAGTTGACATGATCAATATTGAAAAATGGATGAGGTGAGTTCAGGGCTTACAGGTCTAGAGATCTCTAGTTCCAGTAACTGTTCTCATCCTCAAAGATCATGAAGCTGCTGCTCCATGAGTTGTGCTCCGGGTACACGCTGTGATACTCGGAGGTCGGATGCCAGTCGCTGTTGGAGGCCTTGAGTTCCTTCTCGGGCTCCACCTCGGCGAACGTCACGCGCTTGTTGCTCTTTGGTTTAAGTTCATCTGAATCCTTCTGCGACCCCTGTTCTTTCGAGTCCTTCAACGCCTTTTTTAGTTCTTTCGAGTCCTTCAGTGCCTTCTTCTGTTCTTTCGAATCTTTCGCAGCCGCCTTCTTATCTTCTTTCACTGCCTTCTTGTCTTCTTTCGAGTCCTTCAATGGCTTTGACTCTTTCGAAACTTTTGGTGGCTTCAGTTGCTTTGAATCTTTCGATGGTTTTGGTTCTTTGGATTCCTTTGATGACTTCGAATCTTTTGACTCCTTTGATGACTTTGAATCTTTCCATGATTTGCCAGACTGTTTAGATGATTTGCCAGCCTGAAAGACAACACCACAGATAATAATGAATTTGTCACTTATTCTCAAAATGACATGGGTTGTGAAACTTTTAAAAGCAATAGCAACATGTTCACGGTAACAACTCAAAATTGAGGTGGAAAAAAAGCATTGCTTAATCAGTAACTGATGAAATGTGGACCATCAAGCTGCAGCCTTAGGTCAAGGTAAGCATATTCAAATATCAAAATGCTGTCATCATATCTATACAGAGAACACCATGACTTCAGGATCATAGCTAACTACATACAACATGAAAGGGCACACAGACTAGTGTTATATAGAGCATTTTTCACAATTGTATAGTGCAATAGTGCATGAAGTTGGGATATACTTAACTAAATTTAGACCAATATACCTTGTTAGTCAGTTTCTTCAGAGCTTCAGGTCCATTTTCTTCAATAAATTTATCAAGTGCTGTGAGGAAGTCATCGGATTTACCGAAAAGGCCCTTTTTCTGAGGGACATACCAAATGTTAACCATTTGGTGCTTCACAAACATAGGTCTCACATAATTTTGGTACACAAAGGCTGCACCATTGAAGTATGGCAAGACAAGCCAGCAAATAAAGATCAATTTCATAGATGGCCAAAAAGGAAGCCTGTAGAAACAGAAGATGGAAAGACAATGGAACAGCAAGTCAGTGTACCATGATGACTAACTGTAAATTTGTCCAAGCCAATGGAAAAGACTCAGAGAAGGACTAGAGCAAGTACGAATTAATAGGTCTCTCTTCCTTAACATTATGTTGTAATCACCATCCAAATAAAGTATGCAATTAAAAAAATAACATGGGTGTATTATTCCAAACCCTACAAACCTTTCATCACACTGCAATGGCAGGGATAAAACAACAGAACTGTGGAACATTTGTAATTATCCTCTTTTTAAAAAAACTTTTATGAAGAGGGACTCTTACAAGTGAAAGTAGATCAGTAGTCAGTTCTATGTAGAATGGTATTGGATATAGTTTCTACTGCTATAATTTGTTTCCAAGAATGATTAATCATTTATGTTTGAAACCCTGATTTAAGGAACACTGTGTCTTTACCTGCCCAGAAATGAAATGCTCTGTACTTGTGTCCTGTTAACTAAACAAAGCACACAAGTAATCAGGACCGTGGAACTATATTGCGTTCCTTCGAGGATGTTGTTCCCATCCTGGGAACACATGGACAATCTTGCCCCTGCGCTGTTAAAACCTTTTGAAAGAAACGTCCCACGCTCCTTGATCCCATTCCTCAACCCATGGACCCAGGAACTTTGGTGACATATGCACACGTGTCTTGCTCTAACGATTGTCAGAATGTTGATACTACATAGTGTGAAAATGGCAATGCAGGTATGCACATCCCACTAGTTCAAAGATCAGGGATTTGTCACCAATAGTTCAGACTAAAACAATAAATAACTCTAAAACTACTAGTACAAAGTTTTTTTACATTAAAAAGACCACAAATATCACAAGAGTACTTACCACTGAATAATTGATGCAAATGTGAGCTCAAACAGTGTTATTAATGAGTACATCACCCAGTATGTGAGCCATTGTTGATCATCCACAGGGGATTTGGTTTCTATTGCCTTAACTGAAGCGTACCTGTAATAGCATCGAGTTACATTTGTGTTTACCATTACAAATTAACTTTAAAAAAACATGAATATGTTGAAACAGGATAAAAGCAACAAACAACTTACAACGGATAAGCTAGTGCAACCAAAGGCCTGCATGAGAGATTAAAAAAAAAGTGTTAAGCTGAAGGTAAAGTCAAAGCATTAACAACATATTCATAGTAGCATCCAAGCTAGCCAGGAAATTAAAGGTGGAACGGTTCTAAATTCAGGATAAAACAGGTAGTATTAGATGGTCTCTAACATAGTAGAAAAGCACCCCTTGACAAGTCAGTAAGTCAGTATAAAATTAACCACATCATTTCTTATATTACTTTTACAAATTACGCAGCAGCTAAAGGGATGTCCATATTTTCTAATCCAACATAGCATACTAAAACATGACATCGATTAGAGGAAGGTAGTGTGCATTTCTACAGCATGCATCGGTCCACACTTGGAATTAAAGAAATCACAGTGCCCAAAACTGGCACTTGTTTCTTTATGCACCATGATCGCTACGAGACATGAATGACAATCTACCAAATAATAAAGAAACAGCAGCAGATTATTCAATCACACCCATTCTCCTGCATGTGACCTCTTACATACTGCATAGAAAGGAATGAGAAACAGCTAATGGAAAAGATAATTGGACAAAGAAAACAAACAAACTAGTATTGAAAGTGGAAATGCCGAAAGGTCGAACTACCCTACAATTGCTCCACTACCACTAGCAAAACTACAAATCGGAAAGCAATACTAGCTTTTTCTAAAAGACTGTGAAGAGGTCAGGATGCAGTAGAAAGATACACCGCACTAGCAGATTGAAGTGACAAAAACTCCACATCTGATCTACATGTTCAGATTGCAGACTTGGTGATCTACAGCAGAGCAGCCCACAGCACGTGCATCACAGGCAAATTTTAGATTTTTGATGTCGCATAAGCATTCGGGAAAGGTGCGGGTTGCAATGTCAGCATCAACGGATATGTTCTTGTGTCAAGATTGGGATAAGAAATTGACGTTTCGAAGTCCAAAACAGTAAACGCACCCAACAACAACATAAAAATCTACAAAAGCGAGGATTTGGTGACAGATAAACGAAAAATCAAACGCCTTTCCTCCAGCAGAATAAACAAGAAGAAATCCTCGATGTTAGACTGCAATAGAAGATCGATTCTTTCAGGAAGAACAAGCCTTCGCAGGTTAATAAAAAGGAAAAAAATGTACTCCTACTAATCTACTAGGAAGGAAGTGTTTATTTCTATTTCTTTCAAATGAAATCGCCAGTTACATCAAGAAAAGCAAGAACATTTCCGATCCTGAAATATCCACTGAAAAATTTAAGCATTGTACTACTCTTCGAAACCAACATTACTCGATTCCAAGCCGCAACCAGCGGGGGGGAAAAAAGAACACCCTCAGCACCTCACGGACCACAAGAATCAAGAACAGCTACCGCAATGCTACATTGAACCGGACGAGCAAACACATCACTAAGAATCCACCCATTGCTGCTAAAATCATCGCCATTCCGAAAGGAAAGAACAAAACGGTAAAGAGATGAACCAAAAAACAAAGAACCGAAAATTAATTTGGGGGGGGGGGGGGAGAGCGAAGGCAGGGCGGTGCGACTGACTGACCCAGCAAGAACATCGAAGTTCTTGGCAAGAACCTTGAGCAAAGATCCGGACCCCATCTCTCCCCCGCTCTTCCCAATCCTCCCAGCAGAAGATCCACTCTGATTGAGCAAAGAACCTCCTCGAGCGCTTCGAATCGGGTGGGAGTTCTTGGAAGGGGATTCCTGGGAGACTGAAACCTCGCCTGCTTTGCTTTGCTTTGCTTCCTCTTTCGGTGGTGCTGCTGCTTTTGGTGGTGGTCTCGAGGGGAGCAAAATCTGGAGTGGAGGGGGAGGAGGAAAGCGTAGCGTGGTGGTGGTGGATGGTGGAGCAGACGAGGCGAGGCGAAGGCGAGACGACGGGTTGGAAATGGCGAAACGGAACGGAGCGCACGCGTACAGAGGAGGGGATTTATGCGGGTAAGCCCCTCAGGATGTGAGGATTTGGTTGCTGGTCCACTGGTGGAGTGGTGGTGGGCTGTCAGCTTTTCAGTTGTTCACTCGCTCGCTATAGCAGGTCTCGCTGGATGTGAAAGTGTGAAGCTGCCGTTTTTTTGTTGCGGTGTATTGAATGTTCACCGCTAGGAAGTTTGAAGTGCTGCATGTCGGTGTGTTTAGTTCACGTTAAAATTGAAAATTTGATTGAAATTAAAATCTATGATATTTAGATACGGTAAAAAACCACGTATCCATATCGGATACGTAATAGGATACGGATACGTATCGGATCCGTACGTATCAGCCAATTTCGCGATTTTCCGAAAAAGAAAAAAAGCAGGATACGTCCCTGATACGGTCTGATAACTCCCAGATGCGATCAAAGAACTACACAATCGATTCATTGTTTCATCCTGGTAATCATCTGCGCTGCGTATTGCCTCCGTGGTTCTCGGCTGGGGCTCGATTCGCGGCTCCCAGCGTCAGCGCTGCGAACATCGAACGTAGCGCTGCCGTCGTCGCCCTGTAGCGCCGCCGTCGCCATACGCCTGGACGCCGGCTGTAGCGCCACCTCTGCAAGGCGTTCCACCATCTCTACTGGACACAACGCGGACACCATCACAGGGCACAACGCCACCGTCGCTAGACACCAGCTTCCTTCGTTCCTCGGTGAGGAAAGTTCGTTGGCCCATTTCTACCTCTCCATGATTGGTTCTGGGATTAACTTTTTCCATTTTCTTTTCCTTTTTTTCTGAACGAAGCTACTACCTCCATCCTAAAATGTTTGACGCCGTTAGCTTTTTTAAAAATGTTTGTCCGTTCGTCTTATTCAAAAAATTTAAGTAATTTAATAAATTTTTTATTAAATTACCACAAGTAATTTTATATATTTTTTATGTATTATTTTTACCACAAGTACTCTATTTAGATCTAATAAATTTTGTTATTGGAAGTACTAATGCAGCTAGCACCTCCGATTTGTCTAATCATTACTCTTTTAGTTGTAAAAACATGCATGTTTTGGTTTGCTCTCAGTTATTGGCAAGTTAGCAGTCTGCCTGTTCATTATTTGGGCTTCATAGCTTCACCAACTTGAGATCATTTGGGCTTTATTTCCTTGCTAGAATCTATACATTTTTGTATTTTCTGTTTTATATATACATATATAGATGTATTCATGTATCCGTGTTTTATGAAAAATGACGTATCCATGTATCCCCGTATCGTGTATCCGTATCCCCGTATCAGGGTAACATAGATTGGAACAATGTGACGGAAAAGTTGGAAGTTTGCGTGTGTAGGAAAATTGTGATGTGATGAAAAAGTTGGAAATTTGAAGAAAAAATTGGGAACTAAACCAGGCCTATTATAGCCCGAATAATGAGAAAATTCGATACCGAGATCCCTGATGTACTCCCTCCGTCTTAAAATATAGCACTCTTGTACTTGATGGGACACATACTAGTTCAACAAATCTGGACAGGGGTATATCTAGATTCGTTTTACTACAATATTACTATATTTTGGAACGGAGGGAGTATATTTTATTTTGATTTTTGTTAACACGTTTTTCAAATTACTAAACAATATGTTTATTACAAATTTCTTTTATACGGAAATTGATTTTTTTTACGTAGTATTAACTAAATCTATTCTTCAAGTTTACAATAGTTAAAACTGAATTAATCATGTACTAATGGCTTTCTCGTTTTACATGTGTTAACTTTAACTTTAACTTTATCCCATAGACCGCCTCATAGAGTCCCATTTGGGAGAGATCAAATTGATGGATCGATGGACAATCTGATTTTGTGATAGTTATTCGAGAGTATAAACAGGTGAAAACTATTACAAAGTTGAAAAGGTTATTTTAGAAAAGTAGTCTACAAAATTTTCTTAGGAAAATTGTGCTGTGAAATGTAGCGTTTATGAGTTTGGGAAACGTGCAAATAAACAACCAGTATCAATAAATGAACAAAGTCTTAAATTGGATAAATTAAATATTATATATATATATTATTAATAAAATAAAATGTCTGTCAAAAACTGATATGTGCAATATTTTTTTTGAGGAATTGTACTTTAAAATTGGCATGAATAATCATACCTAATTTATCGGCGTTAGTAAAAAAGAATGGGGCCATCTTATAGTTTAAAAAACTAGAAGAATTATGTTGTTTGAATGGAGATGAAATCTTGATTATGTACGATGTCACATACTTTCATGTGTGATTTTTCTACGGAATTCATTCATTTTAAATATGTAGCACCTAAGAATAAAAAGTTTGTGAAATTTCTTCTTATCATGTTTTAAAAATATAATGTGTTTTTCTTTAGTAGTGAAATGGCGCGTGACCATTTGTCAGATGGAATAATTTCAGTTTCTATGTTGGCTCCAGTGACGCTCGCGTATTAATACCAGAGTATAACAAAAAGCTGTCTACAACATAGTATATCATTTAATAATATTAGGATGAGCTGTCATGGGACACATTAAAAAGCTCATAACTTTGTGGATTTTTTTTCAGAAAATGTTGATGGTAGGAACTGGGCCTTGTTCCCAGAAAATTTTACCAAAAAACGTCACATCGAATCTTTGGACACATGCATACAACATTAAATATAAATAAAAATACTAATTGCACGGTATGCATGAAAATCGCGAGACAAATTTTTTAAGCCTAATTAGTCCATAATTAATCATAAGTGCTACAGTAATCTACATGTGCTAATGATTAATTAGGCTTAATAAATTCGTCTCGCGGTTTTCATGCGAGTTATTAGATTAGTTTTTTTGTGTCCAAAAACCCCTTCCGATATCCGGTCAAATGTCCGATGTGACGTTCAAAAATTTTCTTTTCGTGAAACCCTAAGAACACAATATCTACAGAAAGGGAAATGACCACAAGAGAATGTAGAGTCTAAACTTTTTAGCTGCATTCGTGTTTGTGAAATGTAAGTAGTTAGATGCATATGAAATTTCATGATATCCTAGGGATAGCATCATAAAAGTAAGACACGTACAACATCAAAGGCAAGCGATGACTGCACGGATCGATGCAGAACAGCAGATTACACACAACTCATCAAAGAGGATGATGATCCGCCTGTTTATTCTGATCCTGATAGATAGCCTTGTTAATTGTGCAAAGTTGTACAGTACTACTATAGGGATAAGGTTTAGGCAGTACTTGCCAATCCAAGCCATCCATCAAGAAATGAGCGTTCAGGATTGCCTGGCTCGATCTCCTCGTTCCTTTTAGCTACTATTCCGTCAAAAAATCGAAGTCCTAGCTACGAACATCGATTGGTCTCTCTTTTTACGTAGGGGTACTCCTTAGTCCTTGCTCCTTACCTGTTGATTGTGCAAATGTGCACGGGAGACACTTAGTGCGAGAATACTGAAGCATTCAATTAACTTTAAAATCTATGATAAATTTTATATGGAAACAACTAAGGGATCCAAGCTCACTCTTAAAAACCTTGTTTCTGTAGGATTAGACACAAGCAACTAAACCTACCAGAGAGGCTAAATGGTAGATTACGTCAGTGAAAGTGAAATAATCGAATCCTGATAGATCAAAACACACCGCAATCTCAAAAACCAATGAAACACACGTTCGGCGGTCTATCCAACCTAATAGGGTCGGTCTGTCCGAGGCATGGCCGGTCTGACAATAGGTGACTCGGCGGTCTGACCGTCAATCTAAAAAACAACACAATAACGCTTCTATAAAAACTCAATTTCTCTTAAACCAACCATTTGGAACAAGTTGTAAACTTGACAGAATAAACTAGACAAGCTAAGAAACAACTCCACCGGAGGGATTTGTAAAATAATAAACAATTTAAGAGAAAACATCCTCAAAAGTCAGCTGTCTCAGAATTTCAGCAAATCTGAATAAAACCTAAAACTTAAGTAAATTCGAAACTAGCAAGATCCAATCAACAAAGCTTTCCAGATCTGATCATTGAAGTATTAGAGAGGTTTTGGATGGATTAAATTGAACAGAATCGCAGCAAAACAAGCAATCACAAGTTAATGTCAATACCCGCTCGACTCCGCGATGCCGGCGAACGCCTTCTTCGCCTTGGCCACCCGGAACTTTGGTCCCCCGACCATCATCGGCTTCACCGCCTTGTTCAGGAAGTCCGCAGCGGCTTCGACGGCGTACTCCAAGTTCGCCTTGTTGCTCAATCTGATGGAACAAAGATAACATAATTAAGAAACTAATTAATGGATAAAAAAAGATTTTAACACAAAGACGCATGCGTTTTAGGTCAGTATTACCTTGGCGAGATGAACAAGGGCACTGGCTCGCGGCTAAACGTCGGGTGAGAGAGGCCCGCCAGGTTGCAGCCCACGCTAATATACACGGGCTTGCTCTCACTTAGTGCCGTCGCGATGGCAGTGTCGATCTGCTCGTGCGCGTTGTCGAGGTTGTTAATGAGCCTACATACGTGCGGGAGGAGATGGAGTTCGATCGCGGCGGCGGTGGTACTGAGGACGGGGATGTGGCCGGCACAGGACCCCGCGGTGGCGCCGACCACCACACCACCGGTCTCCTCCAACAAGACGCCTGCGCCCGCCGCCGCGCCAACCACCCCCGCCACCCCGGCCCCCACCACCCCGCGCCCGCCACCGCACGTACCACCACCGCAACCACCGCCGCGACAACCACCCCCGCCAACCCGGCTCCAACCATCGCGGCGCCTCCTCTCCCCCAGTCAAGGGTCTCGTCGCCGGCGCAATTGTACACCATCTTAGGGATCCCCGTCGCGGCGCATGCCGAGCCGCCACCGCCGGAGGTCGGACAGCCCGCCTCGCTTGCCTGCTCCGCCGCCCACCCGCCCATCCGCTCCGATGCTCCCCGGGAGAAGAGTGAGAGGGGAGAGGGAAGAAGATAAGAGTGAGGATGAGGAAGAAGAGAGAGAAGGGAGAGGGTTGAAGGGAGGAGTGAGGCTAACACGCGGGGCTCACATGGGCCTCGCCATTTTTAAATTATTTTTTGTGTGACTGATAGGTAGGTCCACAGTTTTTATTATTTTTCCGTGATATAATTGCTACGTAAGCGCCACGTCAATGCCATGTGGGACGAAGACCGAGTCAAATTAGTCACGTAGACGCCACGTCAGCCAAAATCGCCATCAATACTGTCAAGGGACCTCATCTGGACCGGTTTTGATAGTTGAGAGAACTGTTGTATCTAATTTTCTGATGGAAGAACGAAAATCGAATTCGTTAACAAGTTAAGGGATCTCGGATCTCAGATGAACTTATTCCTATTATTACTGGGAAATGGGCTGGCCATCGATCAGACTTGGTCCAAGTCGTAGCCCAATTCCAACACCCACCTGGTGAATTTTTTTCTTTTTTAATTTTTTTAATATTTACATAAATATTATATCGGTGGAAAGATTTACAAAAATAGACAATGCCGCCCTCTATTTGGACGGCAAGCTGACGTGGCATACGGCGTCGTGACGGTGCCATGTGCTCATTTTGCGCTTAGACCTTTGCCGAGGCTAAATGCAATTTTTGCCCTGCCAAACAAGCAATTGGCTAGTTCTTTTTGCATCTGGGCCCCTTGCCGCCCTTGCAAATTTTGCACGGAGGCCCCTTGCCGCCCAGACAGAAGACGGCAAGGGGACCACGTGCAAAATTCATAGCCCCCAAAAACGTCCGTCCTGCGCCCATGTGCCACGTCAGCTTGCCGCCCAAATAAAGGGCGGCAGGGTCTACTTTTGTAAATCTTTCCACCGATATAATATTTTTTGTAAAAATTAAAAAAAAATTTAAAATGAAAAAAAAATTCCCCACCTGGTTGCCTCTCCCCAAGTTCAAACTTGACAACTGACAAAGTTCTGAGACACTTCGGGCTACCCAAAAACTTTTCCCAAAAACATCACATCGAATCTTTGACATATATATAGAGCATTAAATATAGATAAAAAGAAAAATTAATTGCACAGTTTGCATGTAAATCATGAGACGAATCTTTTAAGCCTAACTAGGCCATGATTAGCTATAAGTGCTACAGTAACCCACATGCGCTAATGACGGATTAATTAGGCTCAAAAGATTCGTCTCGCAGTTTCCAGGCGAGTTATAAAATTAGTTTTTTCATTCCTATCCGAAAAACCCTTTCGATATCCTGTCAAACATCCGATGTGACACCCAAAAATTTTCTTTTCGCGAACTAAGCAAGCCCGAAATTTCATGATATCCTAGGGATAGCATCATAAAAGTAAGACACGTACAACATCAAAGGCAAGCGATGATTGCACGGATCGATGCAATTGAACTAATCATCCGATCTACGATCTGATTACACCGTTGTGTTCGTAAGAATTGAATCTTTATAACAAGATCTCACATGATTATATTTGATAAAAAATTAGAAATTACTTTTATAATATATCTAAATTACTTAAGATTTCACTAAATTACTTCTTAGACCCATAAAAGTAAATTTAATAAAGCCTAAAAGTAATTTACATATATTATAGAATTAACTTAGAAAAAAAAGTAACTTTATCACGACATTAAAAGTAAATCCGTTATGGAGGTAAAAACATGAGTCTATATAGAAATTAAATTTAATAAGTATAAATTACATCATTGACTAAAAATGTGTATAAAATAAACAACTCACAACATGAATGTATAGATTTCTTTTAATACCGTAACAAGTTACTTCACTTTTGTTTTAAGTTACTTCTACAATATAGGGTAAATTACTTTCAGGCTTAATTAAATTACTTTTATGACTAAGAAGTAATTTAATGAAATCTAAAAGTTATTTAGATATATTATAAAAGTAATTTCTATTTTTAATAAAAGTATAGTCATGTAAGATCTTGTTATAAAGATTTAATTATTATGATCACAATGATGTAATCAGATCGTAAATCGGATGGGTAATCTAAGAGAAAATTCCATAAGAAGAAAAAATACATGCACGCACTTTTGAGTATACTAGTAGCAACTAAATATGAAATTGAGGTAGCTGGTTATGACCATATCGTAGACACTTGTAGACACGTCCATATGTTATGGCTTCTACAGCACATATTTAGGGAGTGTTTAGTTCATGCCAAAATTAGAAGTTTGATTGAAATTGGAACGATGTGACGGAAAAATTAGAAGTTTGTGTATAGAAAAGTTTCGATGTGATGGAAAAATTGGAAGTTTGAAGAAAAAGTTGAAAACTAAACCAGGCCTAAGTTTCTGGCAAGACGGTCAATCTGGGAAGAGGAAAAGAACTGCAGCTTACCTACAAAACATGCATTTCTCTGAAGAATCATATCGGCCTGAACTTTCTCTGAAAGCAATTGCTCTTATCATTTCATCGCTCTTTGCAAATTGCTCAGTGCAGGAGGAATTACCATGACCAGGGCATCTAAAGAAATCAAATCAATCCTGCAATGGTTCAGCTGCTGCATACAACTGATTCACCTGATGAAGAGATAGATATCAGGTATGCTTTGCTGCAAAACAAACAATATACTACTAGTATACGCTATCATGTGACCTGCTGGTTTACTGAGGCAGATATCAGCTAACAGCATAATCACCATATGCAACAGGTCTCTGTATCATTTCAACCTCAGCAGATGACTGGAGCTACTACCATGATTATTACAGGATGCATTATGTAGCCATTAATATTACAGAAAAACATACGGCGAGTGCACGACTGGCATGCGAAGCCCAGGAAAATCTTGCGATGCAACCATATGCATGGCATTCTACAGTTGGTAAAGTTCTCTTAAACAGGAGAAACAACTACACTACAAGAACATAGTAACACGGTTCCAACCTTCTCGGAATTCAGATGCTACGCTAAATACTAGTTATTCCAATAAAGTTTGGTACAATGCCAATGCTTTCTGCAATAAATACCCTCTTTTGCATTCTCATCCAGACGAAGGCCAACCTTATTACATGGCATCTTGAAACACTGAATGCACCCTGCTGCTTCATAGTTCTACAACAATCGCCTACTTCTGTAGGTAAGGACAGTTCAATTTGTCAGAATGGAGATGGAATACATTGCCAATATCTGTTAATCGACATGGATCTACAGGCAAAATGTGCCAAAAAGGAGATATTTAGCTTTTATTGTGTTGACAGTGATGTAAACTTTAAAAAAATTAAAGAAAATATGCTCAGTAATAAGAATATGACGTAAGGAGGGCCAGGCTTTTAGAAAGGTACTGAAGATACTTCATGGTATAAATACATTTACATAACATTATGTTGCTTCTGGTCATATTATTTGTGTTCAACGCTAGAAAGTTCAAAATGGATAGTGGTACTCATGAACAAATATTTTGTGATTCAACTATATGTATGCACAAAACTAATGTGTATATGTTTTTCAAATAATTTCCATTTACCAAGTTTTCCATGTTGGCCGCTTATAACAGTATATAAATCTATAGTAGTACAGGAAACACAGGCTAAATCACAGTTCGCGAGTAAAATTTCGTAGCGAATGTGAAGGAGCAGCCTTCAACTCACAGAAGTTGTGAGTTCTGACTTCACTTAAATGAATAAGAACCAGCTATAACAACTTCATTTTGCTGGAAGGCACTAAATTACTTAACTCCATTTTTATTTGGAAATTCCAATCCATCAACCAGTTCAAAAGGTGGAACACTATGCACCCTCCAAAGTACCAAGTATCTAGCCATGAACTCCATAACATAGTAAAGAAAGTATAATTGTCACAAATAAGAACATGCAATTTTCAAGAAAAAATAGTACTGTCGGTGACGAAATGAGAAAACATCCAATGACTCACCTTGCAATGGCAGATTATGCTTTAATGTTTTTGTTGCAGGGTTCGCATTTTAGCCAAAGGAACCTCTGCACTTGCGAGACCAACATAAGCAGTTTTTGGACTTCCGACATCCAGAATTGATTCCCAGTTGAACATTACCCTGGCTCTGACCATAATCATATGTAAGCTCTGTCATCGGAGGAATATGCTTGATTGCAAAGAATGCGATATGTGGATATCCCTCGTCACCATGATCATACAAAACTGGTTGCCAAAAAACATTTGGTGAGCAGCTGTGGTTCATAAAGCGAGCTATGTTTCCAGTTCGTTTTGCACTGATAATTATTGGCAGTTGCTTAGGTGTCTCACTTGAGTCAGAAAGACTGGGTTCACCCAGTAATTCTGGTGCATAGTTCCATCTTAAATTCTGCTCAGAAGACGGTGTCTCAAAGATGTAATCATCTTCTCCAATGATACTGTTTCTGTCAATAACTTCTCCTGCATATTCACAAATAAATGTGCCTGCCCGAATTGGATCCCAACTACGAAGTCCCCAACCTCGATCTCCTGTCTTAAACACCTCAAAGTGGATCTGAGAACCTTTCTGTACAACTCGGTTCCGGCAATTATGTGAGCATGTACAGGAATCGTTACACTCATACAGCATAGGCATCCGGCTAACAAGTATGCCTGAAGCACTGTATGGAAGATCACCGGCATTTCGATGAGTGCAAGAGCAGTTGTTATCACCAGGAAGGCACACACTTGCGCAATTGCAGCCTTGCATCTTTCTCATTGAGCTGAGAGAATTCCTGTAGTTCAGTTTAGTTGTGTAGTTGAAGTGGCTAGGACCTTTCTCATCATCCACTTCATTCACAAGGCAAACAGGCTTGCTTTCTGCACCATATGATATGTCACGCAATATAACATGGTCTCGAGAGGAAGGATTCTCCCTCCATTTTTCAGTCTTCTTCCACACTGCTATGCCATCAGGTTGACCAGGTTCTCTGAGCAGCTTGTGTTTAAACACATTAAAGCCAGTTTTTCCTTTCTCCACCCATGCTTCTCTTATTTTATAAAGGCCATCATAAATGTATATCTTACCAGTAGGACAAGTCAAATCTCTTACACTACGAACAACTCTGATTTGATTACCTCTATGCAAACTCCTTTCAAGTGCAAGATTACCTCTTTCAAGCTTTTGGTCATCCTTTCCAGACATGCCCTGTCCAGTGTAAACCAGCACATCTGGGTCATCTTCGGTATTCTCATACACACCAGCTGACACGATACTGATAGCCACAGGATCCTCCTCATTACCAAACTTAGCAGACATGTAATCAATCCCAGACATGCTCTGACTATTCAGTCCAACCAGACACATCTCTATTCTGAAGTAGAACATATCACCAACCTCGACACCTGGAACCTCTCCAATCCTCTTGTTCTTATTTGCACGAAGTTCAGCACTCATCATGATACTCCCGGCCTTTAAGTTATGTTGCTGCTTTGCTCCTTGCTTCACCTCATCCAACTGCATGAGCCTCCGCCGCAGTGCATCAAACATCATGAGTACATTATCAACAGATTCCCTAGGATCATCTGAAAACAAAGATGGCAGATTCAGAAGATTGACATCAATTTTCCTAGGCCGTCCACGTTTCCCTGTTATTATTTCACCACTGTCATCATCTATCGAAACACCTGAGTGACTTAAAGGAATCAGTGCACCATCAGGCACACGCTTTGGCCGCCCTCTCTTCCTCTTACCATCTTCTGGTAAGGTGACAGCAGAAGGTGTCTGCAAAACAGGCTCATTATATTTTGATTGAATTGGAGGAGCTGAAGTATCTGCACCATCCTGTACACGCCTGGGTCGTCCCCTTTTCCTCGTAACAGATTCATTTACAGCAGAAGCAGGTGTCTGAAAAACTGTACTATCTACCTGAGGAGCTGAAGGAGTTGACAGGACAGGTACATCTTGTACCCGCTTGGGCCGTCCCCTCTTCTTCTTACCAGATTCATCTGTGGTTGCTGAAGGAGGCGTCTGGACAGCAGTGATGTTACCTCCTGGAGCTGAAGGAACCAAATGAGCTGAAGGAACAGAAGAATCTTGCACGCGCTTGGGTCTGCCCCTCTTCCTCTTAGCAGATTCCACTGTACCTGCCACAGCTATTTGCAAATCAGGGATGACCCCTGTGTTGTTTGCTGTACCGTTAGCAGGAGCAGCTCCATTCAAGTGAACAGCATATGGCTGCCTCTGGTTGGGGTCTGCAGGGGCAGCCGGTGATGCAAACATTGGTGGAATACTAGCAGGCATTGCCTGTTCAGTGCCCCCAGCATATGGTCCAAACGGGGTAATACAGACAATCGAAGATGAGTTTTCTTTAGCAGTGAAAGTGTGCAGACCAAGTGCCGCAGGGAACATGGGAGTCAATGTGCGCAAGGGTTTTGCATCAACAACTGCTGCATTATCCATCGGAACTGAAGTTGTCTGCCGAGTTCCAGCCATGGTAAGCCACTGTTAATCTTTTGCAAAACAAAAGTTTATGCCGTTATTTCCTTTGTATCTTCTCTAGGTTTGTTTACCAGTCATAGTTTAGGTTAAGCTGGATAGGGGTAAAAAGGAGACCTATCAGTATACAATTGAGCAAGAAATTAAAGCTATGTTTATTTAATGCAGCATTTTTTAAGTCATCTGTTTTACTGACCAAGGAGAATAAACAGAAGATCTAAAAGGAAGCTTGGTCGTTCATCACAGATCTTGAGCTAACCAACTGCAACACAAGAGATATGTGTAAACATCGATATGAGAAGACTAAGAATTACTAAAGCATGATAAAAATCAACATGCAAAGACTAAATCAATAGAACATCCCATTAGAAGATTATCAACTAGCGGAAGAGATTGAATAGATATTTTACATGAAGCTAAGATTAGAAACAGATTCCTATTTTGTCGCAACAAGTTAAAAATAGAAATAATAATAACGACACTTGTTGATAATTAGATGGGTGGAGACCATTTTGCATGTAAAACAAAGAATAATGATGCTTGTTAATAATTAGATCATTTAAGAAAACCAAAAGTTTCCTGAGAATAACACCTTGTGACTGCTATAGATTAGAGTCATTTGATAAAAAAATCACTTTCTAGAAGGGAAAAGGAACAAGATAGCCATGCATTTACAGGATGGCAAAGATAGCGAATCAGCACAAGGAGGGTCACTAGGCATGCACTTCGGTAGTGTATAAGCACAATAGCGGGAAGGGGGTTGCACCTTCCCGTGACAACTAATGTAGGTGTCTTTTACCCACACTCTATTTTGTCGACTATGAGATGAGCGCAACAGAACACATTTAAATATTTGTCTCATAGCAGCATACTAGATAGAATCACAGCCAATGGCCCCTATTGGACACATGATGCAATAAAAGCCATGAAGAGTGAAACCGTCCCCACGCATCACTGGAGTCGAACCGCCATACCAGTGTGTGCTACCGCGCTGACATATCATCACAGCTATAACTGATGGTAGTGTTTCGCTATTGGGCACCATACCCACTTTATTAGCTAATTCCGTTTGTCTCTATCCATTCTTGTCATCCGATCCAAGGATTCCAATTATGTTATTCCAACTCTTAAAGGGGGCTAAGCAAGAAACATTGCCTGCCTCCCCCCATAAATAAATACATATGGCGCGAGAACAGCCCACGGAGGGGCATGTCGTCGCCTTATCCCCTAAGCACATTAATGGCCAAAACCAATCTCCTACATTAACACACATAAATATAAAAACCTACAAACAAAGCACCGAAAGAGTCGCAACGATTGCCCTTACATTAGCTCAATCGCAAAACCCCTCCCCGTTCCATGCATACGAAACCCTCGGCAAGCTACCTACCCATCCATGATCCCCATCCAGCGACGGGCGTGCGGCCATGGAAGGATGTGGTGAGGCTCAGTTCAATCAATCCAAACCACCTTCATCTATTGGCCCATAGGTAATCCCTTCTCTCCTTGGAACCCTTTTCCTTTTCTTTTTTCTAGACTCGATAACCACAGCCATCATTGACAACAACAAATACGATGCAGCCGCATAAACCAGAAACCTGTCCATCTACAATGCCAAAGTTTGATACGAAATCAGGTCTACCACATCCATACACACATATATTGAGACATACAACATATAGCACTCAGATCTGAACAAAATATCAAAAAAAAAAGGCAACTCTAGCACTATCAGGCATTCATGCACAAGCTTAGAAACTACTATAGCACTCAGATCTGAACAAATCAATCCCCAAAATACAAGTAGTATGCTCAGATTTGTAGTATACCTTGATTTGAAGAGGAGTGGAAGGAGAAAAAATTGGTCTGCTCGCTGCCCCCTACGTCCTTGCCGACTGGGCCGCCAGGAGAGTCCCCGCCCTCGCCGCCGCCCGCGGCCGCCCGGAGTCGCCGCCCGTCTCCCACTCCGCCCTCGAGCCCGCCTGGTGCGCCGCCGGAAGGTGAGTACAGAGGAGGGAGGAGAGCTCTAGGGTTTTGGCACGGTGAGAAGAGAGGCAAAAAAAAGGGGGGGAAGGGATGGAGTCTGGAGACGACTATGCCGATCGGGTGGGATGAGTCTCCTCTGATAACGTCATTAGGACTTTGTCACTGACACGTGGGACCCACAAAGGTTGGGCCCACACGTCAGTGTCTCACGTCTCTCTGACTGGAAAAATCGGATGCCCATGTCAGCACGATGTTATCAAGCAAGCATGCATGTAAAACTACTTTAAACTATTTTTTCTCTTAAATTATTTATCCAAATTACGATCTAATTACACCATTAAATCCGTTACAATTAAATCTTTAAAATAAAACCACACATTAATATATTCCGATGAAAAATTTTTTGGCTTATTATTGAATTATTTTTAAATATTGCATGTTGTTACACCAATCATTTAAATCGGGCGTTGTTTCACCTTCCAATAATTAAACAGTGTTTCAGCAAATAGAGAAAGAATGTTTCAAGTCACTGCAACATTTGATCCATACATAGTGAAACATTATAAGTACCTAGGTGAAACATTTTTTGTGGAACAAAAAATGAAACGAATTCTCTAAATAGAGAGTTTTCCATAATATGTGGCTGATTTGTTGCAAAAGAATGTTTCAATTCACCGCAACATTAGATCTATACACAATGAAATATTGTGAGTACACTAGGTGAAACATTTTTTGTGGAACAAAAAATGAAACGGATTCCCTTAATATAGGGTTTCTATAATATGTGGGTGATTTGTTGCAACGGAGTATGTGGTGAGGACACGTGGCAGGTGTTTACAGGGTCATGTGGTGGGAGCGCTCCATCTTTTCCACCCCTCCCCGCCGACCGATTTAAAGGATTTTCGAAAGGGACGGGGGAGGAGGTGAGCACAGCGAAGGCATTCACGTGCGCGAGTCGCGCAGAGCCTGAGCCGCCCCATCCGGCCTAATCCGCGCAGAGCCAGTATCTGGAGGGAATATTTCCTATATGTGGTGGCCATATCCTAGTGCTGCTCTCCATCTAAACACCCCAGAAATTTCAGCGGGCATATCCTAGACGAGCCATTCCTACTATCCAAACACACCCTAAATTAACCGCCTTACCGGCCATCTACTTCACCGAAGAACGATTAATTAACCAAGTAGTCATTCCCTTCTAAAATAATGTTTTATAATGCAGATTTCGTTGATCCCAAAATCTTAGCTTACTAAATAATTAAAATATTGTCACAAAAATAGATAAATAGATATAAAAAATTGAAGATTTGCTCTGGGATCAAAATGATACTAGGTAGATTTTTGTTATCAAAATTAAAAAAAAAACAATTTCATTACCAATATTGTTAATATTTTTTATATGCTCAAACACATACGTATATATATCAGAGACTACATGCTTATGTCCTAAACATCATTAGAACGAAACAATGTTAATTAAGTGGTAGTAATCGGTGGGCGCAAATGCAAGCTACAGATATGTATATACTCGTCCATAAAAATAATATGACCTAATCATCACATACCGTTGTTTTTTTTTCCAATTTAATTTGGTCGCACGCGATGTATATATATCCGTTGAAGTAACTTTGTGAACGCATTGCATGTACATTCAATACGGTTACTGGGTCTCTCAGTACCTTTTTAAATTTATAATTCTTCGCGATTGGAATTAGTTTTACTATTTAATAGCCATTCATACACAAATAACCACAATAACTTTGACTCTATTTATTTTAGCTTAGAATTATTATAATCTAGAATACTTAGCTAGATTATTATAAACTAGATTATAATAAACTGACACATAAAGCACCCAATAATCTTAAAAATACACCTAGAGGTAGTGGATCTTTAGCCATCCAATAATTAAAAAGAGCTTTACTCTATACAAATGAAGAAGATAGAATGCAATAAATAAAATGAAAAGGAGTATTTACTGTCCACTGCAGATTGTACCATGCAAGTATCAACTTTTCAGCCTCAGATTACCGTGGGTCGGATGGTACCAATAGTACACAGCCAGTTAAGAGCAAGATCATATCAAATGAAGATGATATGGAAATCTTTTGCAGCTATCAACTGGCTGTACTGTTGGTATGATCTTGCTCTTAACTGTCCTCGATCGACCTGTCGGCTGTCGACACAAATAAAAGTTTCAGTGATCACATTAACAAAATCACAATTCGCACGTAGTACCATCCGACCCACGGTAATCTGAGGCTGAAAAGTTATATATATATATATATATATATATATATATATATATATATATATATATATATATATATATATATATATATATATATATATATATATATATATATATATATATATATATATATTCACACAAGCCCTCACGTGTACACACGTGCACACCAACTAAAAAATGTCACCAAAAAATCTAGAAAAAATCATACACATACTTTCAATTGTATTACACATAGGGTTAAAATCTTAACGTCAAATTCATTATATTTTAGCCGTAACAAAAAAACAAAAAATCTGACAGTTTTAAGGTTGCAATTTTGTCAAAATTTTATCTTTTTTTTGTTATTCTCTATGTAGAATGAATTTGAAGATGCGACTTTGCACGTAGATGTAATACTATTGAAAGTACATGTATGAATTTTCCTAAAATTTTTTGTGATAATTTTTAGTTGGTGTACACGGTATGTACACGCGAGGGCCTGTGTGCATAGAATACGCTCCCATATATATATATATATATATATATATATATATATAATGTATCCTATACACAGATATGTAGCTGCACTAATGCACACGAGAGTTCATAGCCATTCGATCAAGATCCTGGGGCCAAATCACAAGCGTAGCACTTTTCCAAATAAACGCCCGCCTCCTCCACTCACATTTTACAAAGAACCCTCACAACGTTCCTCTTCCCTCATCGAGCACCTTTCGCATCTTCTTCAACGACAGCATCTTGAGGAACTAACACGGGAGGTGGAGGACATGTCGGGCACGAGGGCATCGACGGAGGGCAGCGAGCCGGAGCGTGTCGAGGCTGGACGGCACCGGCGGAACGCGATGGCCACGGAGGGGTGCTCCATCGCATCGATCGGGCGAAGTAGCGTCGTTGTCCATGGGTAGATCTCCACAACGACGACGCCTAGGGCCCTAGGCCACAGTGGCTGGTGACGCAGGTGCTTAGCCATTTATAGTCTCCACCGTGGGCTTCAGGTGGCCGAAGCCCAGTGACGGGAACAACACGAACGTCTATCCTCATGGCTAGCTACCGCATACCAGTTTCTCCGATGAAACGGGATGCAAAGCACAGAAATAAATCTAAAATCAAATCGTTTATTTTTGGCACCATTGATTGAGGTCACGTTGTTGATTTGCCTCCGCGGGCGTGTTGTCGTCGCCGTCTCCTCCGAAGACGAACCGTCGTGTGCTTGGGCGAGATGGCCGGTTTGACTTGGCAGTTTGCTATTGGAGCCGATCCAGATCGGTTGAATTTTTTGGGACTTGCTTGAGATAAGAGGAACGTTGTGAGGGGTGCTCTGCAAAACGTGAGTGGAGGAGGCGGGCGTTTATTTGGAAAAATGCCACGCTTGTGATTTGGCCCCAGGATCTTGATCGAATGGCTGCGGACTCTCGTGTGCATGGGTGCATTTACATACCCGTGTGCATAAGATACATACATACATATATATACATATATATATATACATACATACATATATATATTGCAGACCATCTGTGCAGACCATCCTTGCCGCATGCCATTTCGACACATTGACACACAGTAAATGCGTCGAGCTGATCTTTAGCTAATGAAATTCAGGTTTTTTTTTTTTGCGGGGGAAAACAGGGAGCTATATTACTCAATTGAGTCCACATCGATGAGATGTGAAATGAGATTACAAGTGTTATCAGGCCAGAAAGAAGTTAAGGCCTCACATCTTCCCTTGTTAGCAAGGAAATGATGACTAACACTATTCTGATCACGGGACTCCTTCCTGACTTTAATCTCCCTGTTGCCTGTCATGAGGACCTGAACCTCCTTGACAACAAAAGCTAACTCGGACAGCACCTTCTCTTTTGATTGAATTAGATTAAACACCTCTAAGCAATCAGTTTCCACAATGAAAGGCAGGAACGTCCATTGAAGCGCCATTGCAATACCCTCCCTGCACGCGAGTAATCTGCTTCCATAGCACTACCACAAACCAGCATAGACCCACAGGCAGCAAAAATAACATTTCCAGAGCTGTCTCTAAAAACAGCCCCAATTCCACCTTTACCATCCGAAGCCTGAAAGGATCCATCAACGTTCAATTTCATCCACCTTGTGCTCGGTTTCTCCCAGCGCCTAGGCGAACTGACTGCGGGGGGAGCTTGGCTGGGAAGCCTAATGCGGTCCGGGTGTGCCACCTGTTTACCTTTAATTATGTCAGCTTGAGGGTACTGCTTAATAGTAGTTAGCGAGCTAACATAACTAAAGATGAATCTCTGAGAGACAGCCACTGGCGCAATTGATTTACCATGGGTGATCTCATTTCTGTTATGCCAAATGCGCCACATTAGCATGAGAAACATGGCATCCTCCAAAAGGTTCAGGATCCAATCCGTCCCGGACCAAGCACTATTCACGTCATGAGAGATGGCTCTCGCAGAATACATAGCCGACCACAGGTTCCTCGCTTGCTGACAATGACAAAGCGCATGGGCAACATCCTCTTCCTCGGCTCCACATATGCAGCAAGTGCTCAACAACTCCAGATTCCTCTTCTTTTTGTTCTTCATTGTGGGGAGACTATTAGATATAGCCTTCCAAGCGAAGATTCTGACTTTTTGTGGGACATTGCACGCCCAGATACGCTTCCAAGATTTATTTACTAGCACCTCTGTAGAACTGGAGCAATCACCGGTCTCTGCAAGCGAAACGACCAAGTGGTACACACTCCTGACCGAGAATTTTCCCAATCTATCAGGATGCCAAGCCAAAAAATCGGATTCAAGTGAAGCTGAGGTGCGAATCTTCAGGATCATTTCTACATCTATCGGCCAAAAGTGTTCCTGCACTTTATCAACCCTCCAAGTTCCATCATCCTGTAGCAAATCCGACACCCACTTGATACAACAATTACCTTTGCGGGTGATGGGCCGTCTGGAATAATCTCTCGGTAACCAGGGATCTCGCCATACTCTTATGGACTGTCCGTTACCCACCCGCCAAATAATTCCTTTCTTGAGTAGCTCCAACCCATGTTCAATTCCTCTCCACCCAGGTGAAGCATTCCCGCTAAAACAGGTGTCAACGATGGAACCGTTGGGATAGTACTTTGCCTTTAGAAGGTGTGCACAGAGACTATCTAGATTCTCTAACAGTCTCCAAGCTTATCGGGCCAAAAGCGCTTGGTTGAAGAGCCTAGTATCACGAAAGCCCAGACCCCCTCTTTGCTTCGACTTGGCTATGGAATTCCAAGATTTCCAATGCGTCTTGCTTTTGCCCCCAACTGCTCCCCACCAAAAGTTCCTAATGGCCTTTGTCAGCTCATCGCACACTGCATCAGGGATTTTAAAAATACACATGACGTAAACCGGTATGGTTTGAAGAACAGCTTTTATAAGCACTTCCTTTCCACCCGATGACAGATGGTTTTCGCCCCACAGCAGAATTCGTTTCCAAACCTTCTCTTGTAAACTCTGGAAATGCCCTTTCTTCATTCTACCCTCCGGTGTCGGAAACCCCAGGTATCTGTCATCGAAACCATTATCACCAACTTGCAAAATCGATCTGATATCCTGTTGGATTGCTGCAGGGGAAGCCGCACCAAACATGATTGAGCATTCGACGGGTTAATCAATTGGCCAGTGCTTGCGGCAAAGTCATTCAGCACTTGCTTGATTGCCACAGCCTGCTCTTTCACTGCTTCAAAAAACAGTAGGGTATCATCAGCGAACAATAAGTGAGAGATCCCTGGTGCCCGTCGGCAAACGTGAAAGAGGCAAAATAGCTCCTTGCCTAACTTTTTCCTCTAGAAGGAGTGACAGTCCATCAGCCACAAACAGGAAAAGAAATGGAGAGAGAGGATCGCCCTGGCGTAAACCTCTTGTTGGAGCGAATGCACTTAACAAGGTCCCATTGAATTTCACAGAGTATCTCACTGTGGTTACACACGACATTATCCAACTAACCCACCGGTGAGCGAAACCCATCTTGTGCATTGCTTGCTCCAAAAACCTCCAATCTACCCTGTTGTAAGCCTTGGACAGGTCCAACTTGTAAGCACATGCAGCCTTGTTTGGATTCTTGTTCTTTTGTATGAAATGGAAACACTCAAAAGCTACTAGAGCATTGTCAGTTATAAGACGCTCAGGGACAAAAGCACTTTGATTAGGCGAAACCAGTTCATCTAGGAACGGTCTCAGCCTGTTAACCAGACATTTGCTTACCACTTTATAAATGACATTACAGAGGCTGATCGGCCGGTAGTCCTTCAGTTGGGTGGGCTGCTTAATCTTCGGAATCAAAACAATTGCTGTGTCATTTATCCCCTCCGGCATCACTCCTATGATGAAGAAATTATGAACTGCCTTGACTACCTCACTTTTAATTGTGCCCCAATTTCGTTGATAGAACTTGGCCGAAAATCCATCGGGGCCCGGCGCTTTCAGCGGGCCGATCTGGAAGATGGCGGTAGAGATCTCCTCTTCTGTTAAATCGCTGCATAAAGCCTCATTCATCTGTGCTGAAACTTTCGACTGGAAGAAACTTGACACTATACTGTGATCCAGACTAGGGTCGGCAGAATACACTTCCTGAAAATATTCAGTAGCCAGCTGCTCCATTGCTGTTGCCGAACGGTGTACAGTGCCAGCACTGTCTTTAAGAGACTGAATCCGATTCTTCTTTGCCCTCCAAACAGCCTTACTATGAAAGAAGCGAGTGTTACGGTCGCCCTCCTTTAGCCAGTTAATCCGTGAGCGCTGTAACCACAACATCTCTTCACGATAAAGTAGTTCGTTCATGTGATCCGAGGCTTGGCGAACAGCAGCACTATCTGCATATGTTTCCAGCAGCTCAGCAAGCTTTTTCCTAGCTTTCTGTAATTCACGGCCAATATTCTTGAATTTTACCTTACTCCAGGAATGCAGAGATGCCATGACCTTACGTAGAGCAGCACTAATATCACCCAGGTCAGATTTAGTCCCTGCTTCCACCCAAGATTCCTGCACAACTTCTGGCAAAGACGGCTCACGTTCCCAACATATTTCATAATGCAAGATTTTCTTCCTGGCTGGCTGTTTCATCTCCTGAGACAGTTGCAAGGATATGGGACAGTGATCTGAACGGGGGGAGGCCAGGTGTGCAAGAGTCGCATTAGGGAAGGTATCACGCCATGCATTGTCAGCAATGGCACGATCAAGTCTCACTCTAACATTGTTTCTTCCCTGGCGCTTATTATCATAAGTAAAGGGTGTGCCCCTGAATCCCAAATCAAAAAGTGCACACGACTGAAGAAGATCCCAGAAAGCTCACATTTGGGGCTCTCCCCTAGGGTGAGATGAAAAATGCTCAAACTGCCAAAGAGCTTCATTAAAATCACCAATAACAAGCCAAGGTAAATTGGATGAATTCCTCAGAGACCGGAGCATCGACCACATATTGTGCCTATTCTCAACTCTAGGTTCACCATACACAAAGGTGGCATGCCACAGAGGGCCATCCGGCGACAAGCGAACATAAGCATCAATATATCTCTCACACAAAGCTTTTATTTCCACATTAACAGACTCATGCCAGTACAAAGCGAGCCCCCCACTCATTCCATCACTATCAACTCCAGCAAAACCTCTAAGACCCAACCTATTCCGTAAACGCCTGATTCTATCCGCCTTCTGTCTAGTCTCACTTAGGAAAACAATTTGGGAATCGGCCTCTTTAACTAGGCCACACAGATCGCGAACTGTCGCAGCGTTCCCCAAACCACGACAGTTCCATGATAGGCAACTCATTGCTCCTGACGGGCCCTGAGAGCGGGTCCCGTCAGTTTACCAGTAGCCCCAGGACTGGTTGCTTCCAAAACTTCCATACTTTCCACCTCCGTCTTCCGAAACCGTTTGAGAGCTCTCGCTGGCTCCTTTGGGTCCACCTGCTTAGCCTGTTCTCTACCAGATCCTTGACCATACAATACTAAGGCCTGTTGAACTCTGTCGGATATCTTGCTCCCGCTCTGTGGTTGCACTCTTTTCCGGTTGGTATCACTGATGTCCTCGGAAGACTCTCCTCCAAAGGATGCCGGTTGCTGCAGGTTCTGTATTGCTAGAATCATATCAGTATCAGAAACAAGGTTAGATGTTGACAGCTGATGGCGTTGTTCCTCCTCCATACCCACCGGTTCTCCTTTCTGCACCATATTCTCACCTGACATGTTCAGATTGCTAGTCTGACTAGCTAGCAGTTCATCCACCACCCCGTCCCCCACATCTTCTCTTCCCTCAAAGCCATCCTGAGCATCGACCCTGTCAGGAATAATCTCCTCCCTGCTTTTACCTTTCCCCTGTTTGGAGGATGACGAGCTTGCACTCCCTGCTCCACGGAAGGCCAGATTGCGTGCCACTCCTGACTTTTGTTGGCCATGGATTGTGCTCATTCTTCTCTCAAAAGGCTTCAGCGGAGAACAACGTAGCTCAGCTGAGTAACGAAAAGGTTGATCAATATTGGCAATTCTTTTGTCACAGTCTTTATCAGAGTGCCCGATGTAACCACAAATAAAGTAGAAAAAGGGCACCCTCTCATATCGTAGCTCGAAACGTCAGACAGCTTCACTTCCCTGCACATTAATTTTATAGCAAGCGAGGTTTTCAGCGGCTTCTTGACTGATAAATCAACCAGGATCCGGAAGAAGTCATGCTTGTTTCTGCCATCTTCACCAACATCTACTTCCCTCACATGTCCAAGTTTGCTGCCATACAGTTCTCCCCTCCTCTTTGTCATAAGCACCAAGGGGAGGTCATAAATCCTGACCCAGATTGGCACAAACTCAAGGGGAACCATGGACGGGCTCGTCAGGCCATCGAATTTTGCAACAAGCAGAGCGTCTCCACGGTGAAGCCATGGACCGCCCTGGAGCACAAAGTTGTAATCCCCTTCCGAGCTGAAGGTGATGATAAACATGTTATCTCTCAGGGACTTGACCTTCATGTTAGCTCGCAATCTCCATGCACGCTTCATGTCATCAAATAGAGCCGCTTGATTGGGTGATCGAAGCGAGTAGAATCTCGACAAAACTGTCCACTGCCCAGCTAGTTGTACTTCATCATCTTCTAGCAGTACCTCCACCGCTTCATCATCCTCCTCCTCCACATCTCCTTCTGTGTATGCACCCGGCCCAGTTGAGTAGGTGTCGCTAGCCCCCGTCGCTGGCAAGGTCTTGGGATTAGCGTGGATCATCTTATCTTTACTCTGACTCGCTGACTCCAAAGCCTGCTTATTTGGGGCCAAGATGATCTCCTTGGCCGTAGTAGACGTCTCTTGATGGGAGAGCATCGCGTCGACCAGGGGCTTCGGGTGGGTGACCATCCCAGTGACGATCCCTTTATCACCCCCACCGCTAGAAGACGCCATGACCCGAAAGAGACGACAAAGAAACCGGAGCCCTAATTCGTCAGATTAGATGCAGAAGCAGCAATTGTTGGTTGTGCTTGACAGATCTGACCCAGGGTTGTTTATATAAGGGCCGGAGACCAAGAACGAATCCAGAACGAATACGGCACCCGGACCAGATCGTGACGTTTCCTTCTTCACAATCCATCTCCATATCCAAAGGCAAAGATCTCCTGGTATGTTACGATTGGGAACTAAGAAATTCTAGGGAAAGGACTGAACCTTGCAACCAGGCCGGACACACCATTGATGATAAGAATATGAATCCGATCTCAGATCAAAACCCCTCAAACAATCTGATTGGAAGCCGGACGACGAATCCTCAAAGCAGGCGATAACCCTGCAGACAACACACGTGGATCGAAGACGAGCTCCATCCAGAAACATCTCACGACGAGACTTACGGCCGCCGCCGCAAAATCGCCTGAGTGCCGCCAAAACCCTAACATAATGCATGTGTCAGTAATTAACTCTCAATCACCCACATCTTCGTGACACATGAATGGGCAAATCCTAGCGATTCATGAAATTCAGGTATTTAATCCAGTCCCTGAATTGTAACAGTCGAATTAAATATACTCTTGTGGAGATTATAGATACCACGTACCCCCATAGCATGTATATCCAACTGGTTATAGGGGATAGCCTATACAGATATAATATGTTTAGGAAAGGACTCGGGTATTTTTGTTAACTTGTATATTAAGGAAATATCCCGTAATCTTAGTCAGTTACTTAGCCTAGTCGTTCGTAAGGCATATGGGCTGTACATTGTAATTTCGGTTCCTGCCCCTATATAAGGAGGGGGTTCAAGTGCTCGTAGGGCATAATTTTTCTCTCAGATCGTTAGATCAATAATACAGTCGGTAGAATAATTCCTAGGATTTATGCGGGTAAACCTCTCAGATTATGCGGATTCGTTTGCTGGTCCAGTACTGGAGGAGGTGTGCTGTACTGGCCTGTCAGCTTGTCAGTCTCGCTGCTGTGAAGTGTGAAGCTGCCGTTTTTTTGTTCGGCGTAGTGAATGTTTACCGCTCGAAAGTTGAAACGGGACTTGTTTAGATTCCAAAAAATTTTTAGCCAAAAACGACACATCAAATATTTGGACACATGCATGAAACATTAAACGTGAAAAAAAAATAATTACACAGCTTGCATGAAAATTGCGACACAAATCTTTTGAGCCTAATTACGCTATGATTTAACAATGTGATGCTACAGTAAACATTTGCTAATGACGGATTAATTAGGCTTAATAAATTTGTCTCGCAGTTTACAGGTGAAATCTGTAATTTATTTTGTTATTAATCTACGTTTAATACTTTAAATGTGTGTCCGTATACTTTAAAAACTTTACACCTAAAGAACTAAACACACCCATGGTTCATTTTTATTATAGCCCGAATAATGAGAAAATTCGATACCTACATCCCTGATGTAGATTTTATTTTGGTTTTTGTTAGCACGTCTTTCAAACTACTAAATAGTGTGTTTTTAAAAGATTTCTATACGGAAATTAATTTAAAATATTAACTAAATCTATTTTTTCAAGTTTATAATAATTAAAACTTAATTAACAATATGTTAACGGATTTCTCGTTTTGCATGCGTTAACTTCAACTTTATCTCAGACACCACCTGATAGAGTCCCGTTTGGGAGAGATAAAATTGATGGATCTATGGATAATTTGATTTTGTGATAGTTATTTGTGGGTATAAACAAGTGAAAAAAAACTATTACAAAGTGAAAAGGTTATTTTAGAAAAGTAGTCTACGAAACTTTTTTTAAGAAAGTTGTTGTGTGAAATGTATCGTTTATGAGATTGGGAAACATGCAAATAAAAATCCAGCATCAAAAAAGAACAAAGTCTTAAATCAGATGAATTAAATATTATATATTATTAACCTAATAGATAGCTTGAAATAAAATGTCTATCGAGAATTGGTATGTGCAATAAAATTTCTGAGGAATTGAATTGTACTTTTAAAGTTGGCATTAATAATCCGTACCTAATTTTTCGGCATTAGTAAAAAAGAATGGGGCTGTAATGGGAATGTCTTAATTTTAAAAAAACTAGAACTATGTTATTTGAATGGAGATGAAATCTCGATTATGTACTATGTCATGTACTTTCATGTGTGATTTTTCTACAGAATTCATTCATTTTAAATATATAGCGCCTAATAAGAATAAAAAGTTTGTGAAATTTCTTCTTACCGTGGTTTAAAAATATAATTAAGGTGTTTTTCTTTACTAGTGAAATGGCGCATGACCATTATCAACTGGAACAATTTCAGTTTCTATGTTTGCTCTAGTGACACGCTGGCGCGTATTATAGTACCGGAGTGCAAGAAAAGCTGTCTACAACATATATCATCTAATGAGAAACTATTAAGAGCAGCGGAAGGGGCGCCCGCTCGGCTATGCCACGTTGGATAGAAACGGTGCGTGGGGTGGTTTTTTTGCGAAAAGATCCTTCTATGTTTCCGTAATTCGATCTAGGTCCCTCGCAAATAGTACATATGAGACAATTTTTTATGTCTAGTAATATTAGTATGAGCTGTCATAGGACTCATTAAAAAGCTCGTAACTCTGTGGATTTTTCAAAAGATGACAGACAGAATGAAACATCAGGGTTTATCAGCAATTATCATGAAATAATCAAATAATACTTGCACTTTAATATGAAACATATTTAAATATATATTAAATATTATAAAAATGATAGATAGATTTGTTCAAATATTGTGCAAATGATGTGAGGGATGATAATTGGATATGCTTGTATGTTAATTTGTAGAATTAAATAAATTGTAGATGATGTCGCATGCTTGTATGAGGTTATATGTATTATTATTAGTGGGTGATGATGTGACATGGTTATATATTGAGCTTTAGATTTAGTGGACTATAACTTTATAACTTTATAGTAAGTATAGATATGTCACTTAATTCATTTTATGCATGTCTCTGAATTTTTCCTACCTTACATCCCTGAGAGTCTGATAAATAATGGGTTAAGTTCGGTTTAACCTCCTCACCTATCATAAAACTATAAATTACCCTCCTTAACTTTTATACCATATATTTTACACCTCCTAACTATTTAATCCAGATAAATTACATCCTCTTTTGTGGTTTTAAGCTGATGTGGTGGCCCAGTTAGGGCAAGTACTATAAGCCCTTAAACACTTGCCCCTAGATGACATGTAGACTCATTTGCTGATGTGGAAAAGAGAAGGAAGAAGAGAGTGAAGGAGCCACCTCTGGATAATCTCTACACAAAATTCAATAAAAATGTGATAGTACTAAAGTTATGGCAAAATTTGCTACAGGACACCCAAAGTTTGTGGCATTTGTTGTGAGACACCCAAAGAACGTGTATCTTTTCATGGACACTGCAAAAATGAGGTAATTAGCTGCTGGACACCCACCTTATTATTTTATTATTCTTGGTGGAAACGGAGAGAGAAAGAGCATTGAAAGTACCAAAATGCCCCAGTACACTATTCTTCTTCCTACTTCTCTTCCTTTTTCTTTATTCTCCTCTTTTCTTCTCCCACAGGGCTCTGCTCCGCCATGGGCGCGTTGTTGAGGCGGATGACGAGGTCGTGCCATCGATCTGCGGGCCACGGCTGGAGCCGAGGAGCACATGCGTTGTTCTCGACCACAGCGAGTCCTCTCCCCATGCGGCGGAAAAACAACCGTGGTGAGGGTTAGCTGTCGGGTCCCGAAACTAATGATTCGGTAACCGACATGTTTAGGCTGAATCAAGCCCTGGATCAGTAGATTGATATAGGTTCAACAATCTGGTTCTTCATTGCATATATTTTGACAAGGCTCCAAAGGAGATTCCTTTACATAAAATAATAGGGTATTTACAAACTTGTGGCTAACTATTACAGCAGAAGCTATACGATGACTCAACTCTAGTGTTTTGCTATAGACTTAAACCATCTATCTAATCTATACTTGAGAACTAAGTTAAAATGAGATTAACTTATATGATTGAACTCCCAGCTTCGGTAAGAACTCTAAAATGACTCTGAAAAAGGTGGGGTTAAAGCAAGGGTGAGTACAACGTACTCAGCAAGCTATTATATTAATCAACAACGAATGCATGAAATAATAATATTTGAGTAGGGTTAGATTTACTTGCAGAAAGCAGAGAATATAGAAGGAAAGTCTATAATGTTTTAAATGCAACAGTATTTAATAAAGTTTGAAATTATGTTTGTAACCAAGATGCCATTGTGAGTCCCAATGCCCGATAACCGCGACCACGGCTATTCAAATAGTTTTAATAATATTCATACTACAGTAGATGTACGCTTTACCCGCAATCCATGACGTGCCAAACACATTAGCCTTGTCATGGCAAAGCTTTTCGGTCACTAACATCAGTGGTACTTGTTCCATGAACTCTAGTCCCCATGCGCTCTGAACGTAACGTTATCAGCAGCGAGAGGAGTTCTAGCGTTCCCGAGGCCTTTAGAGAGAACTGATTGTATGACACCATGTCATCGCAATCAGGGTTTACAAACAGTTCGTGATATCACAATTCATCTCATATATTTACCTGCGCCTCGGTAAATATCACAATCGCCCTTCGCGGCGTAAATTTGCCTCCTGCGCGAGGACTTAAATAAGAACCACTACACAGAGGTACCACCTTTGCTAGATAACTTAATCAGCTAGGTCTATGCCCATACGAGAATTGCGGTCGTACTCGTATGTTCTTCACATGTACTTTGGCAATCTTATGTCGGTTGGAACAGTACTAGCCACCCGGAAATCAACCATTTCTACCATACTATCCCAATCTAAGTTCATTAAATTTTGTGCATAATCTAACTAGGCAGGGCTAAGCAAAAGCTAGCATATCTGGTTTGCTATATGTTCAGGTTATGCATTCAAAATCATGAATGACTAATGCATAGAAAAGGGATATAGAATATAGGGTAATTATGCTCAAGGGGAGGAATAATAACTTGCCTTGCTCCAACGCAAATAAATCCGAAATAGGCAACCTGATTATCTGATGCTTGAAATACCACAGGTTGCCATCCATATAAAATAGACTCTACTGAAGAAGAGGAAGATCCAAATTCAATAAAAGCCATAAAATAGCAAGAAAGAGATAAACGGTTAGGAGGACTAGGGTTTAGGGTATAGCTTATCTCTTTTATGCAGGTATATGGATTACTGGGCTGATATTTTATATGTGGATTCTAAAGAGTTGGTGGCTGGGGTAGAGAGGGAATTAAGCGGCTAAGGTCACCTATATTTTATGTGCAGACTCTGATTGGTTGGTGGATAGGGAGTATAGTGGATAATTGAACTGGTTGAGCAGATATGTGACTGGTATTGGCTGATAGTGGGTTTGGGTAGGATTATACCTAGGGTTCGGTTATATTTAGGCCGATTGAGGAGTAGGGCAGTATATCGGCCAGGTTCTATATTTTATGTATAGGTTCTGGGTAGATGGAGAGTAGGTGGCTAAGATATGGTGGATAAGTAATATTGTAGTTGATGTGGGATTTGGATGGCAGGCTGATTAAGGTTTCAGTTGTCTAAGCCGATATCGAGGTAAGATAAATATTGGCTAGGGTTTGGGTGTTCGCTAGTCGTAGCTAAAGCATGACGACTAGGTTTGGTATCTTCTCTAGCCGGTGTCGATAGACAATATAACGGCCAGAGGGATGGGAGGTTTGTGCAGGTCTAGCGAGGCGGAAGTGTTACTCCGACAACCGTGAGTGGCGGCGGAGCGGCTAGGATCACACAGAGCTCAAGAGCTAACTGTACGGCGTGCTGTGGAGGTCGAGGGAATAGTGAAGCTCCGACCATTGTACGCATCAAGGCGTGGGATGCCGGGAGCAGCACTTCGACCTTGGGTTTGGTTTTGCCGGGATTTACAACCAACGGTTCGACGTTGGGGCCAATAGACCGCAAACGTCCCCATGGAAGGCATAAAGTTCCAACCGGCGGCTTTTTAGTGGCTAAAGGGTATTTTGGGGTAAAAGAAAATATTTGAAAAAGGCAAATATAAATTCAAATGATATTTGAATAAATTCAAATAAAATTATAAAATAACAAATTAGGCATCAAAATGAAGCATTTGAATTTAGATGAATTTAGGTCTAGGTTTTACTGAGATCGGATCTACGGTTTAGGAGATATGGGCTTCTAAATATTGGAATTTGAATTAAATAGAGTAAATTGCGAAAGTATACTGTTCATGGGCCCACCTGTCAGGGATTCCTTTTTCTTTTTCTTTTTCTCCTCTTCTTCTTCTTCTTCCCGTCTCTTTCTTCTTTTTCTCCTCGGTCGAACAGAGAGGAGGAGGAGAGGGGGCGCCGGGCTCCGGTGGCGAGGAGGCGGTGACGCCGGCGGCCAGTGGTGTTCCCGACTGCAAGGCACCTAGGGATGGCAGTGGCCGGAAAAGGGAGTAAGGGAAATAGCCGGAACGGCGGATGGAAGGTCGTGAACCGGGAGGAGAGAGAGAGCTCCGGTGAGGTTTGATTCAGAGGTGGAGGAAGAGGGGAAAGGGGAAAAATGGATTCCTCTCATCGAGGCAAGCTCGATGGCGCGAGGGATTGGCCGGTATTGCTCCGGTGAGGGAGATCGGCCGACGACAGTGATAGCCGGCCATGGCAAGGAGAGAGAAAAGAGAGGAGAGCTTCAAGCTCGGTTTGTGGGGGATAAACAGAAGGGGTTCATCCTCTTATATAGGCGATGAGAGGCGGTTCGAAGAGGAGGAAGACAAGGGAGAATCGGCGACGGCGATGGCGTGGGAAGAAGGATGACGGCGCCGACTTGATTCCTTAGCGGCGACGGTTGCGGCGGCGTGCGCCGCACGCGCACTGGGAGGAGGGAGGCGGTTGGGTTGTGGGCCGAACTGGGCCGGCTCGGCTTAGCTGGGCCGGCAGCCCAAGAGGAAGGAGGAAAATAGAAAGAAAAAGGATTGGGCCAAAAGGAAGAAAGAACGGAGTTTCGGCCCGATGACAAAAAGAAAGAAGTCTAATTTGTATACTTGATTTGGATAACTAGGTTTTGCGAAGAATTTGAATTAGGAGAGAATTCACAAAGGAGATTTTCTAATTTATTTGAGTGCAATATTTAGAGGTGGAGTTTGAGGGAATTTATTTGGAAGCACTCAAATAGAAAAGTAAATTAATAGTATTCCTCAAAATATTTTTTGGAATGTGGTAGGAAAATATGTGGAGGCAAAAGGATAGGATTTGAACCCTAAAATATATGGCATGGGTTTCAAGGAATTGTTTGAGGCTAAAAGGAAATTTAGGTGACAAGGATATAAATTTATTTTCTTAGCACAAGAGCAATTATTCACAATATTTGTAATAATATTTTTCTTGTACCGAGAAGGAAATCAAGCCACGGGAATTAAATTAGCGGCTAGATCAAAAGGAAGAATTTAGATATTTGGCGATAAATAAGAATAGGCTTGGAATCAAAGGATAGGTTTAAAATCAAATGATGGGTCGACAATTAAATCCAATAAAATTGGAATCATTTGGTTTAGGTTCTAGGACAATAGTGGAGAATTTCTTGGACCACAATTCATAATAATAAAAAGGGGTTTTCAAACTAAATTTGAATAAAAAAAATTTAATCAAAAGAAGGTTTTAAACCAAATCAAGAAACACCTCAATTTAACCAAATATATATTTTTAAATGAAAAACACAAAAGAGATTAAATACCAGAGAGGTTTTGTGCGAGTTAGTTCTAGGAGGTCCCTCTAATTATATTATCCTAGGTTTAGGAAGTTATTAAGAACATAATAATCGGCATGATGCAGGATTAGAAAATGACGCATTTTCAGGATGTTGCATTAGCATAGTAAGATTTGGGAACCCTGAGAAGTCCGAGGGCAGCCGGGAGGTGGCAGCTCCTGAGCTCCAATTTGGTGAGCTCGCGGCATGAGAAAATGGCGGTGTAAAGCGTGTGGAAGAGGAAATTGTTGAACTTCGAGAAGATTAGGGTCAGGGTTCGACGCCCCTTCCGGCGAGGAGGATGAGCCACTCGTCCGTGTGGGCGGAGCCATCCCTCTCGATCTACCCATGGCAAAAATGGTGGACGGGGCACGTATACCGCGCGAGGATTTGGCTGACGGTGGTGGCGCCCACTTCGCTGTTGCCCGATTTGAAACGGAGCCCCGGGGAGGACTCCTAGCGGTAGGGGTGGATGTCGAGCTGGCTCGGCTCGGCTTGGTCTGGCTCGTTAGGATAACGAGCTAGCTCGGCTCGGCTCGTTATCCTAACGAGCTAGAAACCTAGCTCGGCTCGGCTTGTCTGCAAGATCGAGCTAGCTGATTTAGCTCGTGAGCTATGGGGGCAAGCAAGAAGGGAGGCGACCATGGGGATGAGCTCGCTGGCAACCACGGGGAGAACCGGAGGAGCTTGACGGTGGATGGAACGAGCTCGACCTCACTGGTACTGCAACCATAGGGAGGAGCTTGACAGTGGAGGAAACAAGCTCGAGCTCGCCGGTGACCACGGAGAGGAGCACGACGGTGAAGGGGACGAGCTTGACCTCCGCCGGCACTTGGACCACAAGGAGGAGCACTATGGCGGAGGAGAAGAGCTCGAGCTCACCGACACCATAGGGAGGAGCTCATGTTCACTGCCGGGCGGCGCCGCAGGTGGGTGGGTTGGTAGGTGGCGGCGGCGTCAGGCGCTGCAGGAGAACGCTGGGGGAGAGCGGCGACGTCGGGCGCTGGGGGAGAGGCAAAGAGCGGTGGCATCGGGTGTGGGGGAACTCAGCCACCAGCCGCAAGGGAACAGGGGAGGGATAAGGGAATGACCTAGGGTTTTCACTTTTAGTGCTCACTATTGTCTATTGGGCCTTCTAAATAAATGGGCCTATGGGCTTTGTGGCCTGGCAGCCTGATGAGGTATGGGCTTGTTAAGGCTCGTGAGCAGCTCGTGAGCTAGCTCGAGCTGGCTCGTTATCTCTAACGAGCTAAAATGCCAGCTCGGCTTGTTAGAAAAATGAAACGAGTCGAGCCGAGCTTGTCGCGAGTCGAACGAGCTAACGAGCCACGAGCTTTTCGTCCACCCCTACCTAGTGGCGGCGCGCCGCCCCGTGCTCTAGCCCAGCCAGCTGTTGCACGTGCTATATAGCTGCCACAACACGCGCATGAGAAAGAAGGTAGCCACATAAGAAGATGAACAAAGAAAGAGAGATTGAGAAGTGGGTCCCTGGGCAAACTTGTCTTTAACCAATGTTTCTCTCTCCGTTTCCACCAAAAATAATAAAATAATGAGACATATATCCAGCAGCTAATTACCATATTTTTGCAATGTCCACGAGAAGATACACGTTCTTTGGGTGTCTCATGATAAATGCTACATACTTTGAGTGTCCTGTAGCAAGTTATTGGGTTTTGTGTATTGGAGGTAACTTTTATTGTATAGATTACCTCTTAATTATAGATTGGTGATAGAGATGAAATTAGAGGTAACAACAACCTATATTATAAAACTTGCCCTTAGAAACAAATCGTAAGACCAATTTGTCAGCTTCTTTCTCTCGAAATCGACGCTGTGTGCGCATAAAAGTGTTCTACATATATATGTTGCATAATTAATACAGGTTTTAGGGAAGTAAGGTAGCTAGTCTTTGCGTAAGCATCCATCAACAAATAGTTAATTAAGGCCACTATCTTGTACGAGTAGTAAACTGCTCTCAAGTCTGAATAGTCGGAAGCAACACCTTGTGAGTTATTTGATCAGGTTGACTCAGCTCACAGGCAAAACGACTTAGGCCCTTTTGTTTAGGCTTAAACTTATTGACTTAGACTTTCAAGTCAGTTTATTGGCTTATATGATTTATAAGCCGGTAGATTTAATGTCCTAAATTTAGTAGTTGAGTCATACATCTACCTCACATAAGCCAAAAAAGCTTCTCTAACCTAGCTTTTGGCTTAATAGTGTTAGAGTGGCTTACAGCTTCAAAAAAGACAAATGAAAAAGCTGCTTGTTTGTTTAGGCTTAAACTTTTCGATTTATAAGTTGGCTTATAAGCCTAAACAAGGAGGGCCTTAATCCTGCCCTTACACCATTGCATCTTTGCATGCATGCCGGCTAGATTTTAGCATGAGAGTAGGCGCGCCACACACTATTGGTTTTTATGCTGTGCAGCACCAGCTTCAGGATGAGATGCGAAACGGCGGTGGCGGCTTCGTGAATTTTCAACCGTAAATTTAGAGTCGATTTTAAGGTATTTTTATCGTAGTTTATTTTTTTTCATTTGTTTTTAAATCGTTATTAAGAACACGTATATAAAAGTTATATTCACAAATTATTTTTCATTCGATAAATATGTTGTTTTGCTTTTTACTCCAATATACCAAATGATGGGGCTGGATGGCCCGTGTGTAGCTAGTTTTGGAGTTTTTTTTTTCTTTAAGAACTTAGAGTGTGTTTGGATAATGGAAAATAGAGGGTGGGATTGGGATTGGGAAATGAATGAAGGGTTAGGATTAAATGAAAGAGGGAGAATGAATGGTTAGTATTTAAAGATGCCTTTTGGTGGGTGGGAAATCATTTCCATTTCCCATTAGCCAAACATTGCCTTAGAGTTGGAGGTGGTTGGTGAGGTTTGCTTTGCACGATCGAGTGAGGAGGGTAGATGCACGAGGAAGGAGGTGACTAGTCTCACATTTGGTTTTGGCTTTGCACATACATATGAGAGCCAAAACCACCTAATAGCTAGAAAAGGGGTAATTTGTTCGAATTAAATAATTATGTGGTGTAAAATGTATAATATAAAAGTTAAAAGGATAATTTAAACTTTTGAATAGTTAAGAAGATAAATCGGATTTAACCCATAAATAATATACTACCGATAAAGGTAGTACTATCTCTGTTTCAAGTTTTCTTACTAGCAATGCTCATATTTACTTACATAGATGTATAACCTAAACTGAGGAAGTAGTAAAAAAAGAAGAATGGCATCAACAATTTACAGCAAGGACAGAACGAATAAAGATCGAATTTTTATCACCAAGAGAGGTGACGAAGAAGCAAGCAAAGAAAGTTGTCATCATCCCAATCCTCCTCCGCCATCCCATCCATGATCCATCATCCCAATCCAACGGGAGCTCAGCTTTTGTTCTCGATCCGCGAATTCCCCGTGGGACCGATGGCGACGGGATTCGTCGTCGTCGTCGCCATGTGTCAGCTCGCTGGCGTCCGGATCACCCAAGTGTGCGGGTGGGTGGCCGCCACACGCTCGCCGCGTGCTCGCCTCCTTCCCCCACCTTTCCCACTTCCCACCCTCCCCTCCCTCTCGGTCTTCGTCTCCCTCCCCTCTCCTCCCTCCTCCTTCCAAATCTGCAGCTCAAGCTGGTGTTGGTGGTGTTGGTGGTGGTAGGCGGCGGCGTCGCCTTCTCCTCCTCTTCTTGCTGACCCCGCCTGACTGGCTTCCTTCCCCTTCCACACCTGCCGGATCGGGTGGCTGGGTTGGTTGAGGGTCCAAGAAAGAAAGATTTTGGGGGTTCGGGGGTGAACCCCCCTCCCCATGCCCCAAGTGAGGTCAGCCCCCCTCCTGGTTAACTAATCATGCTGGCTTCTTGTTCTTGATGTGGGGGAAAAGAAAGAGAAGAAAACGGTTTCTTGGTGGGATTATGTGCAGATCTTTAGTACTACTGTTTCTTGCAAGAAGAATTCGGGCTAAGCTAGCTTTGTCTCCTAGTACACATGGTTAGTTCTTGTGTATTTGTAGTTTGGTTTCTTGTGTAGGTATAAAAAAGTGTAGCTTCTGGTGATTTCTGTGTTATCATTGTTGGGTTTTTTGAATGGACTGAGCCTGATCTTCTAATAGTTTGATGATGTTTGGAGGAGGAGGAGTTGTTTTCGATTTGGTTTTGAGCCTTGTTTCTTTTGGTGCTCCAGTAGACCTTTGTGTGATGCAGGAACCAGAATCTGGGCATGGTGGCTGACACGGAGAGCTCGGGGTCACTGGGTGGCAGCTCAAATGCTGCTTCTGACAAGGCTGTTGATGGGTTCGTTGTTAACTGTTTACTTTCTTTTTATCCAATTCCCATTTATTAAGCTTCATAACAATAACCAATGTCTTTTTATTGCTATGGACAATTAGGCTATTGTCGTCGCGTTAGACACTTTTAGGTTGTATTTATGCTCTAATTTTGGCTAACGTGCTTACATTCTCATTTCTAATATCCTGCCGAATCTGAATGTATTTATCACCACATTTTCTGTACTACTTGTTTTGGGCTATTGTTGTGGAACAATGATAACGACTGTGTTTAGTTCCTGAAATTGGGGAGAAGTTTGGGGAAAGTTGGTAGTTTGAAAAAAAAGTTAGGAGTTTATGTGTGTAGAAAGTTTTGGATGTGATGTGATGGAAAGTTGGGAGTTGGGGGGAAGTTTGATGTGAACTAAACAGGGCCAACATCTACCCGTCAATCATAATATCTCTCTCTTTTTTTTATCTCCATGGTTTGGTTCCCACATTGAAACTAGCTGTAATTTGTAAATATCCATTGCAAAAGTGCATGAAAGCGTAATTTGGCCAGTAGTTCAAGCACAAGAAACTTGCCTTCATCATGATCAACCAACTGAGGAAAAAGCTACACATAAAGAAAATGTTACTGAATTTTTACAAACACAGATGTGGCACACTATGATTGAATCTTGATTTTCTATAACTTCCAAGAATTTTGTTGGTAAGATTTTTTTTTAGTATGTATAGCACTGCTCATCATCTATTTCGTCTTAGTTCTCCTTTTCATGCATATATTCTTTTGCTAACCATAGCTCCGTATGCTTGAGACTTGTTCTCTGAAGTCACTTTGAAAGAGAAAGGTTATATACAATGCACAAATGGACAAATCCAAGACGATAGAGTTTCCTTTATTAGAAACATAGTTGACAAGAAACCTTCTTGAGATAGAGACTGTTTAGGAATTATGACAAGAGTAACCACTAAACACAGGATCGTGCAGTTGGGTCCATTCTCCTTTACCCTGTGATCCTGTCATATGACGGGGGAGTGAGCTCACTATGGATGATAGATTTGAAGTTATTTATCTGTTATATGTGCTGTAATGATTTTCGCATAAAGAGTAGATATTAAAAATTATTGCCCATAGTAAGTTGCTGACAGAGTAGCAATAATATTAAATATTCAAAACATCAATTCAGTTGACAATTGGTATCATTTAAGGAGCTTACGTTACATGATATTTGATAATCAAAATATGTATGATGCTTAGTTTCATATTCAGATATCCACCATGATTCAGAATTGCTTCGCCTTTTAAGTTTATCAGTGAGTTAAAATTGACCTATGTTTACATGTGCACTTTCAGATTATTCTGAATCTTGTTGCTGTTCATGCTTTCCGCACATTTATTTCCCATAGCAGTGCAATTCCTACCATGATGTACTTCTATTTCCGTGATGCTTATTTTTGTTCTGTGCAGGTCTCTTGACAAAAGATCTCAGGAAAAGGCTCCAAAGAAAACTCATAAAGCTGAACGAGAGAAACTTAAGCGTGACCAGTTGAATGACCTTTTTGTTGAGCTCAGCAGTATGCTTGGTTAGCACAGTCCCATCATCATCAATCAATGTCATATCTTTATAGTAGATATACTATGCTCTTTCGAGAAAATAAATATTAGTACCAGCAACTTGCATTCTATTACTTGAATCCATCTTTCCTTTAATTACTTAATGATATGTAACTGAGTGTACATTGCGGAGAATACGAAGTCAACTTAAATTAGGTTGTGTTTTAGCAGGTCGCAGGTACCTGATGTAAGTATGTGCGTATTGTTTAGAGTATGAAATTAGGAATACAACACCTAAGTGGACATACGTTAGTTCCTGAATTCAATTATTTGCTATTGTCCCATAGTTATATGTTGTCTCTATCTATTTTGGAGTTTGCAGTGTTAGACTGTGCCATTCCTATCCTGCCATTCTATGATCCCAAAAAGAATGGGTCCTACACTGTTCAATTTGCTAAAATATCCCCATGTGAAGTTCTGGCTTTCCTGCTTTATTCGAAGCCCCCTTTTGAGTGGTCCATCTGAGAACAAAATTTCAAGAGAATCTTGTTTGGTCCCTACAAAAGATTGATGCAATGCTATTTTTTAGTGTGAATCTGAAATCCAAGATTGCTATTTATTTGCATTATCTTTGCTTTAAACTGCATAGATCTAATTAACCCTATCTTTGAACGGCCACTTACTGTTCAAGTACACAATGCGAATAAACCATGAATTTATCCATAATTTTGTGTTTATTGCTCATTGGCATCTTCCATGCTAACTTCATCTGATATGGAGTAATGACAATTCGGTAGCAGCCTGCTCATGAATGAAGATGCTAATTTGTCAAAACAGCACAATGTTAACCTTTGCTACATTTATTGTACTCCATAATTAGAAATATATGCAGAGCTGATATGGTGCACATGTAATAAAATATTAGAATTTAAATAATTCTTGCTGATCTAGGACATAATTGTGCAAATTGATAAACAGTTAGAAAAAGTTGTCTGCTGATTGGTGCATATAAATTTTAGTGCGTTGCACTGAACTTTCTTCACATGATGAATTATTTGGAGAACCTTACCTTGACCAAACAGTTTTTTGTGTTTACTGCTCTTAGTTTTACTTCAAATATCAAATTCATATACCTTTTCTGATCATTGTACTTCTGCTATTACAGATCCTGAACGACAAAATAGTGGAAAGGCTACTGTGTTAGGTGATGCTGCACGAGTTCTGCGGGATCTTGTTTCTCAAGTAGAATCTCTCAGAAAGGAACAGTCCGCTCTTCTAACTGAGCGTCAATACGTGAGTTGTTTTAATGAAATTGGTGTGTTTTATAAGTAGAACCTAAGTTGCATATAGTAATGTAGTTTTCCTGTAACAGTCACACATAGGTGTACTTGCAGTTGAAATGCCTTCATGGAAACTGCAAATATGTAATTAGCAGACATTACTTTCTTATTCACCTTTTCCTCTCATATTTCCAGTGGGTTAATTCAACTGTTTGCTTGATTTATTACTTGCCGATAGTTGTTTAGGTACTATTCATCATTGCCTTTGCAGCTAATACTAAAATGAACATATTAACAGGTTGGTTCAGAGAATAATGAGCTGCAAGAAGAGAATATCATGCTCAGAGCCCAAATATTAGAACTGCATAATGAGATTTGTGCAAGGATGGGAAACAACCACCTCAATCAAAGCAATCTTGCGATGTCACAACCAGTAGCCAACAATGGCAGTAACTCAGCAACTCAACCCGTTCCACATCACATATGGGGCAATGGTCCGAATTTAGCTATGGTGCACCCAACAAACACATTATCTCCGTTGCACAATCAGCACCATCAGTCTGCTGGTGCCAGCCAGGTTTATGCGTCACGGCCTCAGGAGCTGCAGCTCTTTCCAGGGACCTCAGTATCAACAGAGCGAGAACGATCCCGAGCTGGAAGTGGAAGCACCCCGGCTACTTCTTCAGGCCTGACGGATTCTTTGCCAGGGCAGCTTCGCCTCAGCCTCCCGCAATCTTCTCAAGAAGAAAACAGCAGCGGCAGCAAGAAAGGTCGAAAAAAGGGCTAGCCGGCCAGTTGACACTTGACAGTTGCTAAAAAAGAATCGATAAATCGATACTTGGTGAATGGTGATAGTTACACACTCCTGTAAATACTGCGAAGCGCTTACTGATACCTACTGTGATAGTTGCCCTCTGTTGTAATTTGTATTTGTAGTGCTTGCTCTGAAACTTAGATCACGTTTGACTATAGTTTTCCACTTCCAGTCCTTTTACGGATATATGTTGCCATATTACAGAGTTGTTTACCAGGAAGAGAGAAAAATGATGCAATTCGATAGCAGTGTTAACTGATGATAATTATATGATCCCTGTCACCAAGTCATGAAAATCTGATCTTGTATGTTCATGGGCAGCTTGTTTCAGCATTACAAGTTGAAGAAATATTTGTAATCTGTTGCAAACTGCATGTTTATGGCTATGAGAAATGATCAACAAGCACAGCTGAAACCATGAGACATGCAAAGTATATGCTTCTTGAATCTATGGAAATGCTAAGTCCTGCTACCGAACATCATATTGTTCATCCTAAGACAATCATCAAATCGAAAGAACACAACTCCTGATCTCCCCTATCACACTGAAAAGAATTGAACTCCCCAACAACTGAAAATAATCACACATGATCAGCACCTCTTACTCCTCTGAACCCTTCTCTTCTGAAGAACTTGCTGTACTCTCCTCCTCCTCCTCGGAGCTCCTCTCTTGTGAAGAGCTCCCCGCCTTCTTCTTCATCTTCTCCGGCTCTGGCTCCGGCTCCGAGCTCTTGTCGTCGGCGGTCCAGTACCGCTTGACGGCGTAGAGCACCTTCTCCGGTATGTGGGGGCTGTCCTCGTGGTTCGCCATGATCATCTTCCACCGCATCCCGCTCGCGATCCTCTGAACCTTGAGGAGGACCTCAATGTCGTCCCGGAGGATCACCGTGCCCTCCGGCCGCAGGATCCGATCCATCTCCAGCAGGATGTCCTCCATCTTGCACCTTCTCTCACACATTAAAACCAACAAATTGTTTAGGCACAGAACATCATCAAACAGCAAGAATTCATAATTTCTCATCACTTCAGAGATCACTCAACAGAGCATAGCAGCATGATTAGCATATACTTCCTCCAGTGATAAATAAGTATATCATTTTGGACATTAACATGGTTACAAGACACTAGTTGAATTGTTAATTATTATCATAAAAATGTATGAAGGTTATATTATTTTGAAAGTAATTTTGTAGAAAAATACAATCATAGCATTTTCAGAACTGAACCAAAAAAATTTCAAAGAGATATTGATAGTCAAAGTTTAAATGCATTGACTACATGTATTTCAAAACCTTACTTATTTCTTACTGAGGAAGCAATCAAGAAACAGATATGAACAGAATGTGAGTGAGACTCACTTGTCCTTGTAGAGAGTGAAGACACCATTGCCATGTATGAGGTCATATGTTCTTGGGTAAGTGGAGAATGCCTCACACCTGAAGGAGAAGAAGGTGAAAAATAATCAATAGAAAAATATTTACATATTCTTGGATAATACACCCTTTGTTTTTTTAATGTATGTCACAATTGACTTTTGATATGACGATTGACCATTCATCTTATAAAAAAACAATATAAATGTTATTTATTTTCTTGTGACATGTCTTTTATAATCAAAGAAACTATATGTAATCTTAACTTATACTTTTATATATTTATACTATTTTTTAATAAGATAAATGATCAAACGTTACGTGAAAAGTAATCAACGTTATACAGAGAGAAACAAGAGGTAGTAATATTCAGGTCATGGAAAGCAATAAATGGAAATGCAGGTTGAATTTACCAGTCATGGAAGATGCCGATGAGGCCCCTCTCGTAGACGACGCCAAGGGTGGAGAGCTCGGCGGCGGTGGGGACGACGTTCATGACCCACGACTTGGGCGAGAAGACGGCGGCGGCGAACCCGCCGACGCCGGCATTCATATCCATGATGTTCCGGTACCGGCCGGCGTCGAGCCGGTAGTTCACCTTCCTGTACGCCGCCACATGCCTCTCCCACCGCGCGTTCTCCTCCGCGTACGACTCGCCGGTGAGCCCCGGCACCTCGCCGGCGGCCACCCTCGGTGGCACCGCCGTCAGCCTCTCCGGGAACGGCCGCAGCATCACCTCGCCGGCCGCTTGGGGCGGCGTGATGCACGGCTCCATCTTCTTGTACCAGACGTCGTCGGGGCTGGCGGCGGCGGCGTCGCACGTCCTCGGCGGCGCCGGCGTGGCCGTGGGGCAAGACACAACAGCGGCGTCGGGGCGCTTGCGCCACACGGCGGCCTCGCCCATCTCGGCGAGTTTCTCCCAGCACAGCATCGCGGCGTACTCCTCGATCAGCTGCTGCTCGGCAGCGAGGTCCGCCTCCGTGCGCTCCCACGCCTTGTGGTTGGTCCGCCAGTTGATCGGCGGGCCGGAGAGCACCCAGTAGCCATCCGCCCGGAGCACCCGGTCGATCTCCATCATGTACATCCCACCTGCGCGCGCGAGCCGGCGACATGTGCATCAAAGTTCATGCTCGCTTGCTACATACTCCCTCCATCTCAAAAAAAAAAAAATCTAGGACTGGATGTGACATATTTTAGTACTACAAATCTGGACATGGATATGTCTAGATTCATAGTACTAGAATGTGTCACATTGGTTTTTATGGGACGGAGGGAGCAGCATATACTCCGTCCATTTAAAAATGTATGACGATTCACCATTTAGTTTTCATATAACGTTTGACTATTCGTCTTATTAAAAAAATATAACTATAATTTAATTTATTTTGTTCTGACTTGTTTTACCACTAAAGAAACTATAGTCTTAACTTATACTTGTGCATATATATACTAAATTTTTAAATTCGTCGAATGATCGAACATCATATGAAAAGTTAATGGTGTCTCACATTTTGAAATTGAGGTAGTCAGTGGCGCAACTATGGGGGTGCCAGAGGAGGTCAACACCCCCCTATACGAACACCGCCACCATCACGCCTCCTGTTTTTACTCTATATTGAGGCTAACTAAGATATGTATTTATCTAGTTTATTTGTGTAGCTTACAATTATTATCAATTTAGTTAGTTAGAAAGTCTAAAAACATTAGCAAGAAACATGATCTACAAAATTACTTTGTGATTTCTCATCTTTTTAAAGTAAAATAGAAGATTCTTATTTGTGAGATTATTCATTAGTTTACATTAAAAGGATTTAGTAATAAAGTCTAGTTCCAAACTTTTAATGATATTATTAAAAAGCTAAAATTTAAGTTTTTTTTAAAGAACTATTTTACACATTGATTGTTATTAACGGTGACTATTTGACATCATTTGCTATCGATATTGGTTATTCGGTCTTATGGCCTCTTCCCCACCCCACACCCCCTAATCTTAAATTTTGGAGTTGCCCCCAGAGGTAGTATATGTGTGCATTGGGAGTCGTGTTCGGCGGCGGTGGCGGTGAGGGTAGGGCTTACCGTTGGCGGACCAGGGGATGAGGCAGCGGGAGCAGTGCGCCATGTCGAAGGAGCGGGGAGGGAAGGGGAGCTTGATGGAGCCGAGGACGCCGATGAACGCCGGGACGCCGCGCTCCAGCGCGAACTGCACCTGCGCCTCGTGCGAGTCCCGCGGCGCGAACGACATGGCGATCACCCCCCTCGCGTCCAGGTACGCGCCCAGGCTCGCCACCTGAACACGCCACGCACGGACGAACACCTCCATGAGCGAGCGAGCGAGCTATGGTGGAATGAATCAATGGCGGCGCGCGTGGTCGGCGATGATGTCGCTTACGCCGCAGCCGGTGTCGAGGACGGTGCGGACGGAGCCGTCGGCGAAGGGGACGACGGTGGCGAGCTGGTCGATGTACTTGTCGGCGCCGCCGGGGAACTGGGTGCCGCCGCCGGGGAAGCGGAGGAGGCGGCCCTCGTGTCGCACCCAGTTCTGCACCGCCTTCTCCACGGTGAGGCTCTTGTACGGCGCGTTCGCGAACGGCACGTAGTCGCGGCTCCGCGGCCACGGGAACGGCGTCACGTACCCCGGCGGCGCCGGCACCAGGCACCGCAGCCGCTCGCCGTCGCCGGGGCAGTGCCGCTCCCGGTACACCATGTTCTCCCTCGGGAACCTCATCGCGCGCTCCTGGTCGTGGCACGGCGTGTGGTCCGCCATCGCCGCCGCGCACGCCGCGAACTCCGGCGCCGGCGCCGCCATGGTCTCGTTCTCCACGCCGGCGCCGCCGTGGTGCGTCTCGAAGCTCAGCCCCACGCCGCCGCAGGCCGCCGTCTGCCGGTTCACGGCCATGGCGATGCTGTCGCCCTTGCCGTAGCCGCTGCGCTGCCACGCGCCGAGCAGGTAGAAGAAGCAGCAGAGGCCGACGGCGACCACCATGGCGAGCGGGCTCCGCCCCCTGTTCTCCGCCGACCCGCCGCCGCCCTTGATCGCCATGGATCCACCTCAAACCTGCAACACACAACATCAAGAAACGCAATCAACGGCAACGAATTCGATCAAATGCAAGTGCACAAATCACAGTGGCGACGCACGGAACCTTGATTAATTATGATCCAACTATAATAAGAATAGTGGTTGATTATTGCGTCTGATTGATTTCAAGAATTGGTCAAGAAAGATGAGGAATTGGAGGGGGATTTGGTTGGTGCTGAGAGCGCAGAGCAACCGCAGGAGAAAGAAGCGGATCTTGGATTCACGAACAGAGAAGAGGAGTCTATGGAAAAAAAGGGGAGTGTTTGCTCGATAAAATTAAGCTTGAAAAATGCAAATGTTTTGAAATCCGATTTATGGAAAAATAATCTGAGTGGTAAAAAACGAACCATTTTTTACCCTTTTTTTAAAAAAGTTTTTATATTTTTTTAGAACTATTTTGATGGTTTAGTTATCTACAAAGTGTTTCAACTATTTTGCTTTATGCAGTTTAGTGTGTCATAGATATTTAGTTAAACTAGTTGGAAGACATCAAAAGTCTCATAACACATTTGGACCAAATCCAACGGATAAAAATTGGACTTCTTCTGCCCGGAAATTATGTGATATATCATATATGTATAGCAAACAAACTATGTTAGATTGTTTATTTATTGTGGGATTGTCTATGTCCTATTTAGAGGCTGTGATGCAAGGGCAGAAAACATGTGGATATATCATATATGTATAGCAAACAAACTATTTTAGATTGTTTATTTATTGTGGGATTGTCTATGTCCTATTTAGAGGATGTCATGCAATTAGTTATGAAAAAAGATTAAAACTTTTGATTAAAACGGGGAACTTACAAACATGCAAATTCAAATTCAACACCTATTATAGAGTATAGAAAACAACAAATTAAATTCTAACTAATGGAAGGAACTAAAGTTGTTTCCTTCAAAACTATTGTCTTCTTAATTTCAGCTTCCACCAACATGTCACTTGCATGCTCAAGATCATGTTTCATCGACTTCGTACACCTCGTTCCCTAAAAAATCAGGACTATTAATCTCAGTTAGAGTTATACATTAACAACCAACCAATTTCGATAGTAATGACTCATCTATGCAATTAGGTTTATATTTATACGGCTCTTCTATAGTTTGTCCAAGAACAACATGCATGTTTTTGGCGTGTATTAATTGTGAAAAATAACATGATGGCATGACATTTCTCACATTAGAGAAATGTCACCAACAAGTCGTTAAGTTTGATTGAACGGCTTGTTTGCACGACACAAACGTAGGGGCAGGGATGCAGGCCAGCCGGCGGCGATCTCCTCGATTCCTTGTCACCATATCCAGTCCATATCGACATGGCATGCATATGATTAAATGAAAATGCTATGCGTACGTTTTTTATGTACGATATCGATCCTCGTATAAGATTGCTAACGGATGGTGAACGACATGTGTTGCATCGCTAGGAAACAACAGAAAAACGTGACAGGCTTTCACGTTTATATAGCCAATCAATGAAAATTACGGGGCAGATGTTTTACTTTTTTTCTTAGAATTTCTAGGATTTTCTCTAATTTATTAGAGCGCCATGTGATAACTTGAGAGCGTTTGCAGGAAGTTTAATAGGCTTTTAGTATATAATAGATAGATAGACTAGTTGAAATACATCAAAGCCTTATCACACATTTGGACTGAATCACTGAATCCAATGGATAAAAATTGGACTACTTCTGCCCGGGAAATAAGTGGATATATCATAAATGTATGGCAAACAAAACTACTTGATTGATTATCTTGGGCTTGTCTATTTCCTACTAAGAGAATGCCATGCAATAAGTTATGAAAAAAAAAATTAAAACTTTTGATCAAAACGTGGTACCCTACAAACATGCAAGCTCAAATTTAAAAACTATAGGTTGTAAAAAAGAACAAATTAAATTCTAACTAATTAAGCGTGTATTAATGGTGCAACTTATGGGTGTGTAGTACTCCTCTGTCCAATATAAAACAAATCAGTACCGGATGTGACATATCCTATTACTGCGAATTTAAGACAAACATATGTCCACGGAGGGAGCATGTAGTGTAGGTGCTTATTTCCATATAATAGAACAAAAAAGTGATTAAGCATCAACAAAAATGGATAAGATGCAAATCCTTCAATATATTTAATTATCTACCCAATAATGCCTCCAATCTAAAACGTCTAGAGGGAGAAATATGTAAAATACCATGAACAAAATGCCAAATGTATACAATTTCCATTAAGATTATACATAATAATTCGTATAGAGTTTTTATTAAGATTATACATAATAAATCTTCGTAATTTTTCCGAACTTCTTGGTGTTATATTACCTCACTTTATCCAATTTGAGTGACTCTAGATACTATTGAGAATATTTTGTTTTATGATGCAACCATGGGATAGTATTTTGAAGTAATGCTCATAAGGAAATAAAGTTGTTGCTTTGAATCCAATAGTGCCTTCATAATTTCAGCTCCTGCTAACATCTCACTCGTCACTCGCTCTAATAATAGTTCAACTTCTCAAGATAAATAATATCAGGTTTAGACTATGATGGTCAGATCGTGTTTCATCAACCTAATATACCTTGATCCCTAAAAAAAATCAGAAAAAGACCTTTATTACTATAATATCAGTCAGAGTTCAACATTAACAATCAATCAATTTCGATGGTAATGCCTCATCTCTCCAATTGGATCAACAAATTTAGCAACATAGGTTTATATTTATACGGCTTTTCTTTCTATAGTTTGTCCAAGAACAACATGCATGGTTTTGGCGTGTATTAATTGTGAAAAATAACATGATGGCATGACATTTCTCACATTAAAGAAATGTCACCAACAAGTCGTTAAGTTTGATTGAACGGCTTGTTTTGCACGATACAAACGTAGGTGCAGGGATGCAGGCCGGCCGGTGGCAATCTCCTCGATTCTTCGTCACCGTATCCGGTCCATGATCGACATGGCATGCACATGATTAAACGAAAATGCTATGCATACGATTTCTAACAAATAGTGAACGTTTTTGTGTTGCATCGCTAGGAAACAGCAGAAAAACGCAATGGGCTTTCGCTGTAAACGTTACGTTATAGCCAACTTTACAAAGAGGTTCCGTTCACTCCTACTCTCTTTATATAGCTGTTTTTTATTAGTTTGGGTTTGCTTCATGTTTGGGAGTGTTTTTTATAAAATGTTTTTTTTCTTTGAGTTGCACTCGCTTTGAACGAATTGGTGTAATAATTGGTTGTAGCTCGCAAAGGCTAGGATGGTTTTCTATTCATTATCTAAAAAAAATATAGCCAATCAATTTTACATGATGAAAATAGATGAACATGCATGTATGGGAAAGAAACATTTTTCCACACGTTGCTCAACGGATGCTCATGCGTGTATGGCGCAAGCATACAAGTTCATCCAATGTGAACATCCTAGCTGCGCTCACACTACCAGCTATTATTTAGTTAAAAACACATCATTTGTGTTAAACTTTCTCTACTTGAGCACATAAGTCATCAACCATGCATGATACAAAAATATTTCTGTCACACTTTACACATTCACATCTATATTTTTTTTAAAAGATGTTTAGTTTCTCAATATGTTGCATTGGTGCCCCAAGCCCCCGAATTTTTTAAATTTTTAATTTTATTTATTAAAATATTTACAAATTTTTTTTCAAAGTTTTACAAATCTACACCCCTGACGCCTCAGAGATGGTGTTTTTTTATGACGTGACACATGTACATTGGGCGTTAGGGGTGTAGATTTATAAAACTTTGAAACAAAACTATTTGTTTAAATATTTTAATAAATAAAATAAAAAAACCCAAGCCCCCAATCCGACCGGACTGGCTTGCGTGGGCTGTATTTGTATAACGGGCCTAATGGCCTTTCCTTGACGAGACTTCAGAAGGCCCAGACCTAAGCTCTTTCTGGGCTGTCTTGGGCCCGATTGTGAGGAATATATCGAGTAGCAGAACGTATTGGACGATTTGTTTTCGATGTTATTCACCTCCCGCGTTTGCATTACCATTCCTACACGAGAAATGGATTAGATTGAGCAGTTTAGTGGCTATTATTTTGTTTCGTTGCAGTCATTAATAGAAAAAAATTCTTCTCCAATATTAATAAGAAAAAAAAACGTTCTCCTTCACTATATTCGCTCAAAGCAAGGTGCCTAAGTTTCATGAAACTGTTTGTCAGTATAGGATGCTACAATGTGCGAAGTAAGAGAGGGTATTCTCAGCCGTCCGATTTATAGCGAACGAACGAGATCGAGCGCTACAGGGCACATCAACAGTACCTCTGTACATTACGCTTTACATTAACAACTTGCAAATCGCTATTCTGCACTGCAGCACAAAGCACAATATAGGAGCCGGATCCCTACACATCGGCAATATTTAGGACTTTCTCTTACTCTTTCCTTTAGCACCTTCTCAAAAACCCACATTGCAAATGCTCTTAGGAAGCTTGCAATACTGACGGCCGGCCGGCATGTGCAAAATCTTTCGAGATGCTGTTCATCCTCAAAAATCCTTCGATGCTGTTCATCCTCAAAAAAACCAGGTACGAAAGCAGGCAGCTAGGGTGGCGAGCTCCTTGTCATGTACGTGATGTGGTTCACAAAAGCTAACGAGAGATCAATGCAGTTTTTATAGTGACTGTAAGCTATTGCAGTCACTTAGAAATGAACAATCCAGACAACAGTGTGTTGCCTTTGTTTTCGTAGTGATATTTACACTAATCTTCAGGTATATATATATATGGACAGACCTATTGTGTTATTCATCGATCCTTTGTCTAAAGGACATGTTTTTGGCATCTGCTGCTGCCTGAATAAAGAGAAAAATGTGAGGATAGTGACATTTTTCACCACATTACTAGTAAGACGCCTGACGCCACTGTCGGTGGCACGACATGTTGGTGGAAGCTGAAATGTTGAGGCAATTGGTTTCAAAACCTAAAATGGTTGACATTAATTGGTTTGCCCCATTGCAACCGCATCGCCTGGCTTGCCCCAACTCTTGACATGGCAACTGGCCACCAGCCCACACTTTTGTCAGTTTTGTTCAATGCTATGAGATTTAGTATACGCAAATGGTCAAATTGACGACCGGAATGTATGAATATCCAAAATGTACCAGATATTCTTATAATGAAATATTATATATTGATGAGTGATCATTGTGACTTTCTGGCAATAAAATGAATGATACTGCTTGGTTAAAAAATAACATCATTTTGTCATTCTGGTAAGAATACAATTGGTATAAGCAATTAAAACATCTTATTTTCAGTTGTTCAGAATTGCCAACTGATGCATAAAGATGGGATTTGGTATGGCCAAAATTTCTTCTTTTACATCCTCTCTGTTCACGAACAAACAAAAACTGGAAAAAAAAAGCTCATATGCAGACATGTAAGTTTTGCAGCAACTAAGCTAGCTAGTCATTGACAATTGTCTCGTCTATGATTGACAAATATTATTAGACATGACACATAGAACACATCCCCTTCAAATCAAAGCAATCGCACAAAAAACATATATGAGACAAACCAAAAAAAAAAAAACTATCTGCCACATAGGATAGACATTGTCACATCATTAAGACTGGGAGATTCAAGAGCTGTGGATGCCTCTTCCTTTGTTACCCTTATGTGAAAATATGCTGGATGGTTGGGTTTAGGCAGTGTCATATTCTCGCTGCTTAGCATCACAACCACATCTGACATTGTGGGCCGGTCAGCCGCATTCTCTTGAACACACAGCAATGCAATGTTAATGCATCTCATCATCTGAAATGCATGCAATTCAGTAGACAACGAAGCATCCAAGAGTTCAACCCATCTTTATTCTTTCCACAATTGCCATGCCTTCAAGTAATTTGGTCACAATAAATAGAGGTTGATTACTACAAGACAACACAATGTTATGTGTTTATGTATAGGAAAAAGAACTCACATATCCAAGTAGGGTGAAGAAATCTCCACATTGATGAAAACCAGAGTTCCTTTTCCCACTAACAATCTCGAGAATTAGGACACCGAAGCTGAATACATCAGATTTAATTGAGAAGAGTCCCTCCGAAGCATACTCAGGAGCCATATAACCACTGAAATATCATAGGTAAAATTTATAAAGAAACAAACTATATGTGAAGTTTGTGTTATGTAAATTGATGATATAATTTGGATGTGCTAATTGTAAGAAAAACTCACTATGTCCCGACAATCCTTTTTGTGTTTTCTTCTTTATCATTCGAGCTGAATATTCTCGCAAGCCCAAAGTCTGAAATTTTAGGATTCATTTCACAGTCTAGGAGAATGTTGCTTGCTTTAAGATCTCTATGTATGACTCGCAGCCGAGAATGTTTGTGCAAATAAAGAAGTCCATGTGCTATCCCTTCAATTATTGCTAGGCGATTATTCCAATTTAGCGTAACTCTTCTTCGTTCATCTGCATATCAATAAACGTAAGTAGTTGATAAAAACAACTCCAACAGCCAGATTTAGCTATGAATTTGCACTAGGATATTATGAGAAGTAATACCAAAGATAAAGAAGTCCAAGCTTTTATTTGGCAAATATTCATATATCAGTATTTTCTCCTCTCCTTGATAGCAACATCCCAAGAGCTTAACCAGATTTGTGTGCTGAAGCTTGGCTATGAGTTGGATTTCATTTCTGAACTCTGTGAAACCTTGCCCTGAATGTGAAGCAACAAGCCTCTTAACTGCTATCTCGGATCCATCAGAAAACTGACCCTAGGAAAAAACATCAAAACAGATTTATCAGTGATAAATGATTATGTACATTTTTTTAATAAAAAAGTGGGTAAAACCTGGACTCTACATCCAACCAGATGTACACGCCAAAATTATTTACATTTATTATGTACTGTATATCAGCATTTTACTCATCCTTCTAAGAAAATAACTTTCATTGTATGACTTGTAAGAGGATTTGAAACATATTCATTAGCAACCAGCTACCAGATGCTGGACCATATGTTTTTGACTCTCTTAAAAAAAGAGATATATCTGATTTTAAGATTTCCATATCTCTACGAGTCTATGTATGATAGGGCATGTTGCTGTTACCTTGTATACCGGGCCAAATCCTCCTTTCCCAAGCTTATTATCTTCAGAGAAGTTGTTTGTAGCATCTAACACTTGTGATAATTTGAACGATGTGAACTCTGAACTACATGCTTCTCTTCCCCAGGCCAATGCTTCTTCATCTGTCTGCATATTCATATCACCCTGCAAGCTCACTTCACCTAAATTCAGAATTGAAACAATTCTTTCAGTAAAACCGCTGCCGTCTAATTTTCTCGGAGGTGTTCTACCATGCTTTCTATCGGTAGTAGAATTAATCTAAACCATTTTTCTAATCAAATACACCATATCTATTTGTACTAACCTATCAACTATATAGAATAATTTTTCCGACGAGCGGTACAACTCATAAATCAAATGTTGAGATACTTCTAGTGCGATAATACTGGTAGTAGAGCACCGCTCATTTTCTTGCACAATTGCGTGGCTAAATTACAGTTTTCTCCTTCCATTGTTTGACTTTTTTTTAGTTGAAGTTCTTTAGGTTTAAGTTTATAGAAAAATTAATAACATTTATAACACCAAATTAGTTTGATTGAACTTAATATTGAATATATTTTCATAATATGTTTGTTTTATATTGAAAATGTTAATATTTTTTTACAAATTTGGTCAAACTTAAAGAAAATTTAACTAAGTAAAAAGTCAAATGACTTATAATATGAAATAGAGTAGCTTTTACCTTTCTTGTACCTTCTGACCAATCCGAAGCAAAAGATGACGCAGCAAAATGATCCAAGAAGTGGGAAAATCGTGGCCATGGCCATGACTTTGCTCCTCCTCCTCCTCCTCTTGTGCTTCTCTCCCGGCGGCGACGCGACGGCGTTCGCCGCCACCGCCGGAGCTACGGCGTCGGCGCCCGACGAGCCGATGCGCCGCATCGGCTGTCCCTTGTAGAAGGGATACGTCTCGTACCTGAAGTTGCACCAGAGGCCAAGGATCCGGCCGCCGCGGCGGCCGGCGAAGTACCTCGTCGTCATGTCGTTGATGCTCTGGAGGCAGCGCCAGCAGCCGCCGGGACGCAGGTCCGGCGTGCACTGAGCCATGGAGTAGAGCGTCGGGAACGTGGCGCTGACGTCCATCCGCCCCGTCGCGTAGTACGTCGTCGTCGCCGGCGGCGGCGGCGACGAGTTGTACGCCGCCGTCCTCGCCGTCTCCTGGACGAGCACCTTGATGATGTTGGTGATGATCGCCACGCTGTCGGCGTTGCCGGGGTCCCACCCGGGCAGCATCGGCTGCGTGATGTTCTCCGTGTTCATGAGCACCATGGCATCGTCCGCGTTCGTCGTCGTCGTCGTAGAGTTGCTGCTGCGGTTGAGGATGTCATGGCCGGAGAACCGGAGCTGGCAGCCGGCGTCGTCGGCGACGACCACGTCTTCGGCGAGCGGGCACGCCCGCCGCGCCACCCGGGACGCGCCGGCGACGCAGTCGCCGCAGGCCGAGGCGTTGGGTAAGTCGCCGCGGCAGAGCGCCACGCCGTACACGGTGTCCGGGGCGGCGCCGGCGGCGCCCTTGCCGAACAGCGACGGCGTCGACGCGTTCTTGGCCAGCCCAGCAATCAATCGCTCGAGGTTGGACTCGTAGGCGCTCCTCGCCGTGTAGTTGGTGGCGCCGCAGTTGAACCACACGTCCGGATCGGCGGCGACGATCGGGTGATCGTGGCCGACGACGAGGACGACGGCGGCGACGACGACGATGTCGATCATGTCGACGCCGCCGGTGAACACGAACCAACAAGAAATTAAGCGGCAGAGTTGTGGGAATTCGTCTTCTACCTTGAGGAACAACGACGATGACGTCACTCATGTCGGCATCTTTGGTGAGACAAGCGTATGCCGCTTCACATGTTGATTTTGTTCGTTCGTTCTTCTCGCCGGTAACGAGCCAAAATAGAATGAAATCAGATACTTCCAACAATGTGTGTACGTTTATTTTGATCTTGGAAATTTTATTGACCAGTATTATGTCTTCCTCAGTAGTTAATTACACGAGAGTACCTTCACGGTCTCTATTCTCGGCGTCTGATTAATATGAATGGTTTCGGAGCAATTTTACCATCCAATATCTGGTATCTCAAGGTACCACAAATTTTTATACCTATATTGGATGGTAAAAATACTTATGGTCCAGACTGATTCTACTGCGGATAGAGACAATTGTAAAACACCTCGCCACGATCAACTTGTTCAAGAGTTTCAAAGGTCTGTTCGGTTCGTTTTGATTGCGAATCGCGATGTGAAATTAGTCTTCTGCAAAACCCCCCTGACCACTACTTGTGTCACCGTTGTATTCAAATGTTACTTCTAATATATTGACATGTAAAGCTTTTATGCATTCGAAAAAACTGAAAGGAAATTAGTCTTGATCTGCATCGTACTGTATATTTTGTTGTACAGAAATTATAACACTGTATTACTCTTCTGAATCAAACAGTGGATTGCATCTATATAAATTACCCAAATCAACCTAAACAAACTCTTTTTTTTCTTTCATCCATTTTCCATTTCCAACTTTGTTTGGAATTTTCGTGTTTATGTTACAACTTTTCAAACAAATAATACCTCAGGTGTAAATAGTGAGTTTTTATTTCCATACTATATAGGACATATATTGGGGGTGGGGAAGAACAACTTGTGTTGTTCTTCACTCATCATATATAGACAATTTTCCTTAAAAAATCGTCTAAGAAATATCATAGCAAAAGATCCAATCCGTACCACAAAAGTGTACACACTGTCTTTAGCACATTCTTTGAGTACGTTTGTGACAACGAACTATAGTTAGCAATAAGCATCTGTGACGTCCAATCAAATTGTCATCTGGGAAATATAATGAATTAGCAGACGCCATGATGTTGACTAACATGCGGAATTAGGTGCTTCTGATTGTTGAAGTCTTTGTTTTTTACACCATAACCGTACCGCAAATAGAAATGCTTTCCAGGTGAGCTCACCGAATCAGATTAAAACGTTTAAGGACATCCAATATGTCTATATACCACAATTGTCTGAAGGACACACTTGGATGAATGAAACAATATGATTTTTTTTGTTGCAAAAGTACCAAGAGAGGATAGTTCAATTGCCTTTCATTCTCTAACTATGGTTTTTTTATGCCAATATATATGGACTATCACAATCAGCTTGACTGACGATCATAATAATTGTATTAGCTAGTGTGATAGAAAGTTATTTCAGAGATTTCTTTATTGCATTGGGATGATGGCATCTATTGGAGTTCTTGGTGTTAACTGATTCATGACTTTGTAATTTCAGCTCCCGCCAACATATGTGTTTTAACAAATTAATACATTCCGCTCGCTATAAGGACAACAAAAACCTTTAATGCCATATCTCACTCGAATCAAAATTATAGAGACATAAAGTTTATATTTATACATCTCTGTTTTTTACTGTGCAATAATAACATGGTTTTGGCATGTATCCTATCTTATTATAAAGTTATCCCCCACTAACTCCTTAAGCTTAACATGCAAAGATGCCACATCATCATCCACTAATCCACTAATTAACAAGATACCACATCATCATCCACTAACAATCATCACATTTAAACATCATACAAACATGTTATATTATCTATAATTTTATAGTTTTTATAATTTAAGAGCTTTTAAAATACAAGCATAATACAAGCATGTTAAATTATCATCCCACATAATTTAAATAATATTTCAATATATATCTTTATTATGTCTTATGATATCCTATATGCTTATATAGTTTATCCTCACTTAGTTAGTGCTTAAATGATTAATTTATGGTCTAAATTATCTTTCTCCTTTTTTTTTCTCTAATTAAGTCATATCACATCAATTGTTTTTAGCCTTTAGATGATTAATCTACGGTCCAAACTATCTCCCTACTTTTCTCCACCTTACTTTTTAGTTTGAATCACCATTCTATATACTATTTAAATTTAAATTATCATAAACCACATTAATTTACTTAATCTGATGTTATGTAGCTATCTTACACGTTATTTTTTTTGTTGTTATCATACTAAATTCCCGCAGCGATGCGTGGGGTTTCACCTAATTATTCATGCCAGAAAACACATGATGGCATGTCATTTTTCAAGCGCCAATAGTCATTAATAGTCATTTAAGTTCGATCGATCAAACGGGGCTTGTTCAGGAATGCAGGTCGGTGGCGATTGACCTCCTCTACAAACGAATATTGAAACAACAAAAGTACCACTATGTCAAGGCAGTTTTTCGGCACATAATTACACTTATATAGACATGTATGGAAAAGATTACGCCTCTTATTATATAATATATATGTTCTCACTTAGACGAATATGAAAAGATTACACCTCTTATTATATAATATATGTTTTCAACAAAATTAGATAGTGGGAAACACAAATGAAATAGGTAAATCTCATCATATACTCAATATTACAAACTAATGCATGCATATATTTCAATTATCTAGGATTACGTAGTGGCGGATCCAGAAAGAAATAGCAGTGGGTTCTAAGCAAACTAGATAGAGTTATAGTCCCCTCTCCCATCTACATATGCTAAAAAAATTTAGTGGGGTCTTTATAGTCTTCACGCCAGTAGTGGGGGCTCAAGACCCCGCCGCGCTCATGCTGTATCCGTAGTTGAATGTGGAACAAAATGGTAAATCTCATCATATACTCAATATTAGAAACTAATGCATAATTATGTTTACAACATGTATTTTAATCGTTTAGGGTTATCTAACTTGATTATGGAACAAAATTTATATCTTCCAAGTGGCGATAAGAATTATACTCTAGCATGTGGCGATAAGAATTATACTCTAGCATGTTCTCAGGCGATGTTTCAGTTATTGTTTGTTCAAGGAAGTATAGCTTGTTTATATCTATTCAGTTCTCACCAACATCTCTACATGTCCTATGAACTTTTCAAAGAGGATTAGCATGTATTAATAAAAAACCTTATGTAAAAAAAGTCTTGACCAGATTATCTCTAACTTTTCTAATAGACACGCGTGTCTTAGTGTCACAAAAAAACAAAAGTAAAGAAGTCTTAACTCAAAGTCTTGTCCAAGAGACACCAACTTCTCAAAGAGAATGAGCATGTCCATTTACCTAGCTCCTCTATATAGCCAACCGATTTTACAGATGATGCATGCATTTCATAGGATGAAAATAGAGATGAACATGTATATGGGGAGAAAACATTAATTTTTCGGTACATTGCTCAACAATATGCTAAGCATGAGTGCATGACGCACTCACGCCCTATCTGATGCTCGTGCGTATATATATTGCTCTTTTCCTGCCAAGTTCGTCCAACATGCATGATCTAGCTATTCAGTTAACTAGGTGAAACCCCACGCATTGCTGCGGGAATTTAGTATGAAGATATACATTGAAATATTATGTGAATTATGTTGGATGATAATTTAACATGTTTGTGTTTGAAAAGCTCTTAAATTATAAAAACTATAAACATATAGCATGTAATTGCATGATGTTTAAATGTGATGATTGTTAGTGGATGATGATGTGGCATCTTGTTAATTAGTGGATGATGATGTGGCATCTTTGCATGAAGATATACATTGAAACATTATGTGAATTATGTTGGATGATAATTTAATATGTTTGTATTTGAAAAGCTCTTAAATTATAAAAACTATAAAGATATAGCATGTTTGCATGATGTTTAAATGTAATGATTGTTAGTGGATGATGATGTGACATATTGTTAATTAGTGGATGATGATGTGGCATCTCGTTAGTGGATGATGATGTGGCATCTTTGCATGTTAAGCTTAAGGAGTTAGTGGGGGATAACTTTATAGTAAGATAGGATAACACATCATTTGTGTTGTGCTAAACTTTTCTACTGTCACACATGACACATTCATCTCTTTCCGTTGCGTATTCTGATAAATTTTCAGACGTTAAATATATAGATAACCTAGTGGATGAAAGCATCCGAGAAATACGAGAGGTTTTTTTCAATAATTTTATAGGTATATACATGTTTAGAAGAAAATAACAAAAATATACCACTATCGCAGAATAAAAAATCCGAGACCATAAGGCAAGTGTGTGATAAAGCGGTCTTGCGTGGAGAGGAGGCGACACCACGCAGTATCGCGCTGCGAGTCCGGAGACCCAAAAACTCACATGATTAATTAATTAATTAGTGTCATTAGCAATTAATTAATTAATTATTATCTCTTTAATTAATATCATTGGTAATTAATTAATCACTAATTAGTATGATTAATTGTGTTATTAATTAGCGGCCAGTGTGGCCATCTCGCTCGGGCAACAAGCGAGACCGAGGCTGAATAGCTCTCCCGCTCGGCCAATTAGCGACACCGAAGTCGGTCTCGCATTTCTGCCTTACGAAACCGCCCGTGACAGCACATTTCTGTCAGTATTGCGCGTTTGTCTTACGATTTCATTGTGATTTCGCACTTTCAAACCACGACGACGGTTTATTTGTGTAAATCCTTTCGCATCTAGTATATTTCTGAGAAAAAAACTACAACAGTATAATTTTAAATTTTATCCGCGAACGTGCTAGCCTTTGATCAGTTAGCGTGGGCCGTATTCATATCATGGGCCTCATACGGTCTCAGCTATAATTGGGCTTTCTTAGGCATTCGGGAAAACCCTCAGACGGTTGCGGGTTAAAAAGTAGGAATAAGTTTACCTTAGGTTCCTCAATTTATCGCCGAGTCCGAAATTCATCCCTAAATTGAAATACCAGATATAGCGGGTCCCTTAATTTACAAAACCGAATCACCCGAAATACTATACATTATTATAACCAGTTTTAGCTGACGTGGCAAGCTGAGTCGGCGTGGGACCCACACGGGCCACACATGTTAGTGGGTAGCACTTTCTTCTACCTCTCTTCTCTCTCTCCCCTCTCCCCTCCTCTCTTCCAATCGTCCTGGACTGGATGTGACAGATCGATCCATCGATCACAGTGGCGACAAGTTATTGGGCGGCTGTGGAGAATTTGGGCTTTAGACGTAGAGTTGTGGAGGCCCGTGACGGGATAGTGGGGCATGGCACGGGCCAAAACTCTCTTGCTGCTTTGTACTT